CATCTAATTAAAATCTGCGATGCGAGTTTACGTGTTGTATGCTTCACAGCAGCAAGTCGGAGACGGCTTCCTGTCATAGATTACGACAACGACTCGATGGCGGACTCTTTGACCTCAATACGAAAAGCTTCCACGCTGGACACGGGTCGTGTCAAAATGTCAACTTTCAGATTCCTCTGATCGAGTTGTGCTCCGAGACATCCGTTGAATGAGAGAAACGTATGGATTCCGTACCGCCTTAATTTCGGGAACCTCATTCGACACCCGCTCCATGGCGAGTCGATAGGCTCAGCCTGACCGAGACAGCCGCTTGAAGTTTTGGATTCATTAGTTGTCGAATCCGGACGGGAAGCTCTCCCGGGTCCGATCGGGGCGGGAGTGAAGCTAGTGGGATTCCGAAGGACTCCCAGACGGTACCGTGGAGGCGAGCGGTGGACACTTCGACTTCCCCGAAGGTACCCACCGACGCTCCGAACTTGGTTGGAATCGTTTGTAGTGAGTAAGTGAGCCACGCAGATCGATAACGGCCACTCAGATGCAGGCGGAGCAGTCACCTCACTCGCCAGGTGAATTGTCAGTCGACCGAGGCCATTCATCCAACAGCGGTCGGGCAAAGTCTGCATTATGAGCCATCGCTCCTGGACCAATAGCGAAGGTATCCGGATAGCGGAGCAACGCATCACAAGCTTCGATATCGATAGAAATAAGAGGAGCTACGGCTGTCTTCGAGAGGAAAAACCGGTCGACCGGGAAGCTGCTTCCTGAACACGACGAAGGCACGTGACGCAACGCATCAATAAGCCGTTGTGCAATAAGTCGTGTGCTCATCAGTGAATCCGTGACGGCAATCGGCGTACCACTATCTGTAATTTCACGGTGGCACTGGTCAGCACCCGACTCGATCGCTATGGCTCGCGTCACGTCCAAATGACTTTTGCGAGGATTAGTTTCGGACTTATCGTTCGATGTTTTGTTGGCGATAGCGGACGATCAGCTTCGGTGCACATTCGAGAAAATTGAGTGAATGTCGACCATATGAATTGCGCGGAGCTCTTCTTGAGATCAGCTCCGCCTCGGTCCGCAAAGCGATGAATCGAAGAAGGTCGAGCTCAAGGAGATTTAGGTTGACTGGAAGCGCCGAGGGAGTTTTTCTTCTCGCTGTCTTCTGATTTTTGATCGGATGCATATCCTGCATCGAGCTGATTCTGAATCCCGATAAGGTGACCAGGACAGAGCGAACACACGTTTGATACACGGATGCCCATCGATCGTTGACCGAGCATCGGGGCCCGCTTGGAATTCGGATGAACTTTTGACCTTCAAGGAGAGTGAAGGAAAACTCTGGCTCCTTCCAATAAAAGAATTCATCCGCAAAACTTATTGCTGACTTCGTGGTCGCCCGCGCCTTGCCTCGTCTGAGTGGCTCACTTGCTCCAGTTGCGCAAGTTCCGCCGTCGTTGCCGCTGGTATCGCGGGTTGCGATGGCAATATATCCGAGATTAAATTTCCAAGTTATCGGGCAGGAAAAATGCTCCTTCCCCATATCCGCCGAGCTCACATCCTTCAAAACGGAACACTCGATGCTGGCTGGCTTCGAGCGAAGACTCTCTGCAGGAGGAGTCGCGACCAGACTTGAGAAATGTGGAAACTTTCGGCGGTTGTGACCACCGCGGAATTCCGCCCGTCTCTCCGGTCATAAATATAGGGCTTCAGATTTCCCTCTGTCTTTGTTCGCAGATCCGCATTGAGAGAAACTGCCATTACTAAAATGCCCTCCTCGTAGCTAGCACGAGCGAGCACTCGGGTATACAGCGAATGACCTGACATGGTCATGGGATATAAATTTGACTACCAATTAAAATTTCTACCACGAACTTTTTGCCGATCGCGTCCGTCCACCCGCCTGTTTGGAATGATTGGCTGCCAGCCTAGTCGACGCTCGTTCGCAACGAGTCATAACGTACCGTGTGCTCCTGTCTTGCTCTCAGCGGCGGCGCGGCGTCCTGCCATCATGATCATCGTCAACGACCTCGTCATCGTCGTCGTCGTCGTCGCCGCCACAGGAGCTGTCGACGGGGGCGACCTCGGCGGCACTCATATTTATTTGGCTCTCTGCGGTTCTATTCCAAGATGAGGAAAAATGTCTTTCAGACTCCAGTCGGCTTCGTGCCGGCTTCTCCTCCGTTGCGGAGCTCTCTCTTTTCATTTTTCAATTTTTCGCTTGCCGATTCATGGCAGTAAATGATTCACAAGTTCTCCCCGTCTCGCCAGACCGGTGATGGCTTGCATTTCCAGTATGTCACAGCGTTGCCCTGTGGTGTCGGTTGCTCGAAACGGTTGCAGAAATACCGAGGGCTGCCCCGACGGAACGGAATAAGAAAAACGAGAAGGAACAGAGTGAGATATAGAAATAGAGACACCGAAGGAGACCTCAACGCAACGACCTCTGCCCGGCCTTCTCATATTGGTAGTCTAGACATGCGTCCGCCGCCCGGCCGACCGTCCCGCTACCAGTTCGCTCGGTATAGCGGGCTCTTTATTTTCCGAAGGTTTTCCAGATAGTCTTCTTCGTCCTCTCTCGGCTGTAAATTTAACACCAGGCCACGTCGAACACATTGGTGAGGTTGAAGACAATCAGTGTTCCTCAGAGTCGGGAAAAACTTTTCTAAAGTCACAGCGCTAGGGCACAACGGATGAGAGAAGCATCCCGTTTTCATTGGCCGCCTCCACTTCTTGAACCTGTACTCTTCTTCCCGTCGGTCCGTAGGTCGCTCGACCGCCCATCCGTTCGCCTGCATACTGTTTGGCGAGCGAACTCGAGCTGCGTTAACACGTTCAACTATCACGTATGTCATATTGTAATGAGATGCACCCTCACAGAGCACCTACCGACCGAACGAGAGTAGGAACCCGGAAAGGACGTCGGCATAGGGACAAGAAAACGTCTATAGGGCGCGGGGCGTCGACGTCGACCATGTTAGGGGTCGGCTGAAGCTGAATGACCAACGACTCTGACTCGGAGTCTCGGCAGCTGGGTATCTGATCTAATCGAGAAATAATAGCAATCTCAAAAAACCATCAGGCCAATCCTACCAGAGGCACATTACAGCTAAGCCCCCTCGCCTGGCTGGATGGATGGATGGACGGACGGACGGACGGACGAACGAGGCGAACATGAACGGACCGAACGTTCGACGGACCGACAAACAGCGAACTGACAAACAGACAGTGTTAGGTGCCCATTAGGACGTCGCGACGCACATAATATGTAGTTTCGGCGCAGTAGGCAATCCTCACCAGCCGGAAAAAATCCTCTTCCGAGAGAACAGGCACCGGAGGAACGAGCGGATGTTCGAAGCATCCGACAGGAGCAATCGACGGAAAAACTCGGTCGAACCAGCCAATTCGGATGCCTCCTCGAAGGATCCGCGTCTCCACGAAGTCGGTTGTCTCTGTGGAGACAGGCACGCCGCCGGCCGGACCCTCGGGATCCGTGGGTCAGCGACGGGTTGGTGGATGGATTGCTGGCCGGCCGGTCGGCCGGCTGGTAGGACACTCGCAGGCACGACAAGGGGCTCCCATGGCCAACAGCGGCACCTCGTTAAAGCCCGCTTGGGCGCGATCAAGCGATCGCGCGCGACGTGAAATGTCCCGGGAACAAAAAAGAGCTTATTGGATTTCTCTGATTAAACTACGACAGCCTGTCTGCCTGTTTGCCGGCCGGCCTGCCTGCTGCCAGGAGTCACTCAGACAGCTACCCGACTAGCAATCCAGTCGGTTCCGCTGCTGGAGGCGGGGGCGGTGCTGCTGCTGCGGCCCGGGCCTTCGAGGCGTTCGGCACTCTCTGGCCCTTCGGCTACGGGGGGAAACTCGAGCCAGCTCGCCGTCCGCCACGATCAAAATCCTCGGGCTCTATGGCCACGCTGTCCGTTTGACCCTCGAAACGCTGACTGAGCTTGTCATCCGCGCGGCGATGGATGAAACTTCTTTCCGGTTCTTTTCAGGCCCTTCTGAAGATCACCTTGTCCGCCCGCGCTCTTCCGCCGGCGACCGATCTTCGGTACTTTCTTCGTTCATCCAGTCGCGGGTCTTCCGCTCTCGTCGAGGTGTACCGGCAACTACTGATTGTGAGTGGAGTTTTTCTCAAAGTCGAAGATCGACGGTGAAATTAAATCAGCCGTCTAGCTGGCGCACGTCCCAGGGGAACGACGAGCGTGCAGGCATGTCACGGATAAGGAAACTCCTGCTCGATAGAGAACCCGACAGAGGACGAGACGGGGGTGAACGGGGGAGTACAACGGCGAGTCAAGGGAGAAAAACGAGTCGAGGACGCTGCTGCATTCCAAAGTCACAACAAAAAACAGATATCCAGAGTTCGTCAAGCAAGACAAATTCCGACACGAAGCTCTGCAGGCGGAGGTTCGCGTCGTCTCACAATCTTGTCTCTTCTCTACTTCCGCCTTTTCCCTACTACTTCTTCGAATCAGATTATTTTATCCATTAGTCCGTGAACAACACCTGATTATCATAGATATTAAACTCGAAACAAAGGACGACAACACCCACTCCGGTGAAATCGATTTCAGAACGAATACTCTGTGAATGTAATTCAACTCCGCTTCCTCGCCGACGACCCGATATCCGAGACGCCGAGAACCCGACGCGATCCTGTAGTCCATACGATCGATTTTGGTCAGGGTTGATGAGGGAACTTAGCGGGAAAGCGACCAGGACGTTCGTGAGAAAATGTACCGTGAAGGTGCCGCGGAGGAAGATCACGTTCTGACGCCCCCGGTGGATCTCCACGGGAATCGAGAGGAGACGACACAGTGGACATCCGTTATTATCTGAGATCACGTCCCTCCAGGAGGAATCGAGCGCCGGCGGCGGGGAAAAACGCGCCCCATGACTCCCCCACGGAGAGTTCTGGTCCCGATCGTCCCCTCAAGCGTGGATTCCCCGGTCGGGAGCGGAAGTTTACCGAATACCCACCTGGTAACTGATGATTTCAGGCTGTCCTTGGTCTTGAAAATCGGCGAATGAGTGAAATCCTGATTTGGTAAGCGGCATTGTGGTGCTCCGGCGGAACTTCGAAGGTGAGATCATGTTCGTCTTCGTTTGACAACCGACGATAGGATGACCTATCGCCTGCTGAGCGGGAGCTGACTTGATCATCGAGCCCACGGTCACCGAAGTACTCATGGAATTCAGCAGGCGCTTCTGTGGAGGCCACGCAAGCGCGCTGTTCGAGGACCACGCGGTCGCTTGTTGTGGATGACCGCCGTGGCTTGCCGACCAGTCCGAATAGGCGCCGAAGAGGTTTGACGAGGACGAGTTCACAAGCCGCGACTGGGAGCCGACGTTCCCACCAGCCATCGCTGCTGAGTTGTTGGAGGCTCCATTGGCGATTCCCAGCGAGGTAGTCACGGTCGAGGAGGCGTTCGAATGGGAGCCCGTGATGGCTCGTCGCTGGAACATCACTTGCGAATTCATCCCGTTAACCTGATCGGAGTGATTATTACCGTTGCCGCCGCCGCCGCCTATGCACACGCCGTTGCCGCCAACACCAACGACACCATTTCCCCCACCACTAACACCACCAACACCACTGCCAACAGCACTGTTAACACCACCTCCACAGTCTAGACTACACCAATAGTTTCCTCCGGCGGAGAGCTCGTCGTTGCCATCTTGATTACTTAACTTGCTCGAAACCCTATCGATAGACGTCAACGTTGTCGCATTCGTCGTGATCGACGTCAAATCGTTGCTTTCTAGACAGCCGTTCTGAATTACGACGGACGCAGACGGCGGCGGTGTGTCCGAATCGGCGCCATCCCCACCACCGTAGAACACTCCACCTCCCTGAGACTCTCCGGACGCTCTGCCGTCACCGGGCGTGCCTGCGGGAGTTCCGTTCGAGTTCTGGGAGGAACTCTGGCTCGTGGGCGAGGTGACCGGCTGCGGGAAGCTGGGGCTTACGCTTCGCACCTCGCCTGCCGTCAGGCCTCCGTAGTCTCCCATAGGCATTCGCCCCTTTTTCCGATCCGGGGCTCTGTCACTCGTTTAGTCACTGTTCACTGTCGCTCGATTCGAGTCCACTCTCAGCTCACAGAACTCGCTCGTTGAATCAAACCACGAGTGACCGGCGTCTTTCACCTGCTGCAGAACGCTCGGCTAGCCGCCGCCACCGCCGCCGTTGCAAGCCTAGTCTTCGTTCCTTATTCGCTCCACTCGCTGCTGTTTGTCGTCGGCGGCGAGTCGACCAGTCGGTCGATCGATCAATCCATCAATCAGTCGGGGAGTCAGTCAGCTGATAGACTGTGGGAGATCGGTTCTTATGGCTCGTCGACTGGCTGCTCGTTGGTCGGTCCGTCGGTCGGTCCTACCGTCCGTCCGTCTGTGCTCCCTCCGCTCCAGCTGCTCTGTTCTTCTTGCTGCTCCTTTTCCACGCACTCCACAGCGGATCCTGAGCACAACAACAGACCCGCTCCAAAACAAGCCTTCCTTCCTAGGACTCCCTTCGTGTCCACCGACCTCTCTCCTCGGGGGCTGCGCTCTCCTGCGTCCTTTTCAGTCGCCCCCGACCAGCGGCTCTTCCCTCCGAAGCCATCGTTGCCTTGATTTCTCCCCACCGCTCGTGCTCCTTACGCATCGGATCTCCGTTAGCAACGCTGCCCCCAATCGACCATGGTGGCGCCGTCTGTGGGGTCCCGGAGGGACCATGGGGCGACCGCGGGAGCCGCTGTTCTAGGACTGTCCGCAAGCAAACTATACTCCGACAGAACGGCGGGGGATTTTGCCACGCGGATTTATTCGAACCCTTACGAACTTCCCCCGAGCCGAAATCGTTCAAGAAACTTGCTGCTCTGAGATTGATGGCTCCGACGCTGGAACATGAACGACGCTGGAAAACTTCGCGATGGGAGAAAACTACACTATTTCGACTTTTACTACTAATACTGCTAAGGACAATGGCCAGTGCGTGTCTGAGAGTCCACCAATGAGCAATTAACTCAATCAGAGCGAAAAGGGAAGAGGGCATGGCAATCAGTGGAGGAGGCAATGCGGTGGCATCGGAGGAGCACTCACTCTCTACTAAGCTTGGTTGTGTCATCATCATCATCGACGACGTAGACGACGACGATCATGTCAAGCCGATGTCCGTCTTGTTAGTTCGCTCTTATTGCTTGGCCTATGTGGATTTCATTCTATGTCTAATCTATGGCTTCTCGGCCCGCTCTTGATGAGAAGCGAAATTACAGCTCAGCCGATGAGACGGTCTCTCATCAGTTCGGAAGCTGACCAACGAGTACGTTCGAGGAATGCGAATAATAATTGACTTTGGTTTTCTTTGAGAAGGCGGGGCTTGTTAGTTAGCGTTCGGGTGGAGATGCAGATTGGATGGCTTTGACGTGATCAAAGTTTGAGACTCGGCCCAACGTGTCGAGGTGGCGCAGGATTAATAATACGAGCGAGCGGGTGCCCTCCGTCCAGCATGGCCTCCCTCCAACGGATCTTCAGCAGCCTCAACGCTCTCGGATCCAAAACGAAGCTTATTTCAAATACGGTGAAGCTTCTGGGATCGGTATCCTCTATAGTCCGTGTATTTCATGGATTTGCGGAGATTTTCCATGAGGATTTGGGCCAATTTTCCGGCAGAGCCCATGTCGAACGATCCGCTTATTTGCCACTACGGCGACAGCCTAATCCTCTCTGATGAATACGCTTTTCCAAGACTGCCCGGCGGTGAGGATTCCAGAAGAGAAATATCCCCCCTATGTATAGAAGGACTATCTCCGACCGTTGAGGAATTGCAGATCTGAGGAAGTGGCTCCTATTAAAGGTATCGTCATCGGATGAGGTTCGGGAGGACTTTGAGATATTCTCCTGGTATCTCTCCGTATGTGATTTGTCTGTGAGAAATGAAGAGAAGCTTTGCTCAGGAAGTCTTCTTGAAGAGTTAGAAATCAGGAAGGCCACATTAATGAGAGCTGACACGTCTGTCATGTTCAGCGACTCGGGATGCGACGGACATTGTGCGAATACACAGGCTACCCGGCCAGTTCCTTGAGAATACAACTCCTGAGCAGACGGAGACGGGGGGAAATCGCCTCGATAGTGTAATTTAGAATCATTTTCTCCATCTCGCACAAAAACGACCCAGTCGGGTAGGCATAGCCCTCACGAAAATCCGATCCTCACCCGAATTTCTTTCTCGACGCGAGCTTTACAATGCATGAAGTTTCGAAGGAACATGAGAGAACACATCCAAACGAAGCAGTCAACGTGCCGAGTCGCCCCCGGAGATGCACGTGCGGCTTCGCGTGCTTTCTGTCGAGAGGAACATTGGCCTGAGAAACTTCAGCGGATTCATGCTTCATGCTCGAGCTTCCTATCTGGGCGGGGGCGGAACGAAGTCGCTTCGCTTACAGGAGTGATTAAGAGGAGGTCAAACTTACTCGAGAAGCGGAATGAGCGGATCTCATCGCAAACTCAGGCTTGCGCAAAGCTCGGGGATACCCATGATCTCATCTTTTCGCGATGGAACGGGCCGTATATACAGGTCTCACAGTATTTGTCATCGAATAAGATGGACAATGGACACGCTTTTCAGGCTCACCGTGCGAGCGTTCGGAGTATGATGGCGTCTTTGGCCGGGGACCGTGTTCCTCAGGGAAAAAAGGACCAATCAATACCTCAAGTAATTTCGAGAAGTTGTTGGAGCTTGAGTCGGGTTTGATTGTACGTGCGAGAAATTATGGATTCCCGATTATTTGTTCCCTGGTCGGTTTTGATCCCATGCAACGGGAGGTACCTACGATCGGAATCGTACATAATTTGACCTTGAATCGATCGATTTGATGTGGATCAATCAAATGAGAAGCCCTCAAGCAGAGTGAGTCGGATCCGGCCTGGATCGAATGCTCCGTCTACATCCGAACATCATTCCGCTGATGGTTCGTGTTCTGATTCTTCCCGGAGCGACGTTTCCGAGGAACTATGCACGCCGTCTGCCATAATGTAACCTAATGAGCTGCGATTCGCTTATAGGAAACTCGGCTGAAGTCGGAGGAAACCGGGAGGAATGGATAGTAGAGCGAGCAGCCCAGAGACCCGCCGACCCGCGAGCCCGGTGCGTCGGCAGCGAGCGAGCCACCGACCAAGCAGGCGCGACGGCGAGAAGAACTGAGCTGAGGGGAGTAGAGGGCGTGACGAAAGTCGAACCTGAGTTCCGCCACACCAGAAACCGAAAAAGATATTTGCGACGAGGCTCCACGTTCCCGTGAGGCTCCGATTCCCGGCCTCCGAGTGCCGAAGCAAGGCTCGACTCTACGGTCGTGCTCCATGAATTTAAAATTGCAACAAAGCTCGAAACTTCCTTCGCACAGTATCTATCTCGTTTATTCGTCGTAATAAATCAGGAGCTACTATGTTTAGCTTCTGAGCGCCGAGATGCCATTCGCCAGCTCACCATGCATAAATTATCGTTAGATATTGGCCTGACTTCCCGGAGCTCGATCGGTTATCCTTCTCACGTCGATGACGATTATTGTGCGTGCATGCGACGGCGTACGACAAAGTTCGGCGGCTGCGGTGTTCAAGAGAGAGTCAAAGCTGATCTCGTTCCCGCACAAGTTCCGGCTATCGCTAAACCTCTCAAGGCCTCTCTCACAGAAAACGATTGCTAGTCGGCGGAGAGTACCCATCACGGTGCGGGGAGTGGGAACGGCAACGAGAAGATGGGAATTCTCCGGGGCCTATCGCGGTGCGAAAATCATTTCCTCAATTTTATAGTAGGCTAACTACGGAGAGCTGAACGAGCCCGCTTCTCGGCTTCCGTTCTCAAGAGATTCTTACGCCGATCGACAGAACGAATTCGAACCTGGGGAGATTCAATGATGATGATCGGATCCGGATAATCAGAATCATCCACCCGGATGGAGCGCGAGTAATCTCACCGTAATGGATTCCCGGACCCTATTCAAATTTATTTCCGGGACGAAGACTTCAAAGGGACCCTCCAAGGCTTCGAGGCACAAATGATTCGGAAAGAGACCCTGCTGGATGATTTTTGTACAATCAATGTACGAGTGTAGCGGAGATGACGCGAATTTTCCATTTGATGAGTGTCGAGTTTTCGATCCGCATTTGCCCTGATTGAGAATCGAGCCCTACTGATAAACCCAATCGCCTAATCTTTCCTGCCCGGACAGCCTCTCCTCTGCGCTATTCCATGCCATGTGACGGCGACTTCGCTAAATTCGGAGGCTGTGCGATTGTTCGGGGAACGTCACACGGAATTACGATTCACAATAAATTTCGTGAGGAGCTGTTCTTCGATATCATTCCATCGACTCGAGTCGCCAAGTCCTCATACTGAGGCCTCCCTTGACCATCATCTGCAGTACTCTCCGATGTTGCCCACGCTGCGGAATCAAAATATGTATCTGTTTTCCCTGACAATTGTTCAGCAAAGGAGGAGCGGACAGCGACTCGAAGGCGGCGGCAGCAGCAGCAAGAGAGCTCGTCGGTGTCGTTCGAAGCGGAGAGGATTCCAAAATGGCGGCGCCCACGGCGAACAGCGAACGAAAGCAGACTCATACTTAGCCACCGTGTTTCACGGGAGCGGTACAAGATTTTCTCGCCTGGAAGCTTCGGAGAATGATATAAGTGTTTTTTTACGGCATGGATTCCGCTCTAGAGATCGCTAGCGACGATGACAGGTGAGATATCACGCTCAGAGAGCTTATTTCCAGGAGGTCGCCGTTGTTTACTTTAGCCACTCTCTGCACTTGATTGAGTTCGTGTTTCTGAACTCCTGAACCTTCGTAGCCACAGATAGCGGCTCAGACAATTCTCGTTAGAATCGGGGAAGCCCTCTGAGCAATTTCCCGCCGCTCAATGCCTTCGTCCCGAGACCCGAGCCCAAATCTCAGTTCTCGGTTTCGCGCACGGACAATCGCTTCGTGCCCGAAATTCGCGTTCTTCGCCATCGACAATAATCCCGCTCATCTGACTCGCAGATGTCGATCGACGATTCGACATTCCGAGAACGCGACGCTGCTCCTTTTCCATGCAGGATTAAATTCCTAAGTTATGTCATGCGGTTCAAAGTGTTGGGAATTGCCCATGCCCCCCATGAGCTTTGAATCTTCCTAGTTCTCATCCGCTCAAGTCTCCCCTCGTTCCGGATGGAAACTGCGAAATCGTCTCTTTTGCCAGCGCATGTTTCTATCTGCATATAGTAGAATGTTTCGCACTTTTCACGTTCTGGGCGTAAGGGAGCCTCGATTCGATACTCCAATAGCGTACGAGGATTTGTGTACTCCGACGTGCCGCGGCCTCCCGGATGGGTTGAGTCATTCGGCTAACTGATTCAGTTGCTTCCACTGGATCTGGATCTTTTCTCTAGAGTGAAAATCCAGATCCAGTCTCCGTCCCGAGTCTAGACGGAGACTGTCTTTTTTTTCCTAAATGAAAACCTCTGGGACAAAAGTGAGAAAAAATCGTAAATGCGCCGCGTTCTTACACCAAAAGTATCTTCCCAGGGATATTGGCTATGATGCGACGGGAACCTTGACCTGGCGAAGGATAGCTTTATTTAGCGGGGCCCGAAATCCGACGAGAGCCGAATGCATCCTTTCTGTGTTGCCTTGAACTGATCAGAATGACTGTGAATAATGTCGGTCAACTACCAAGGCTGCGACTCCACGTCGGTCACAGAATGAAGGGAATCCAAATTGTTCGATCAAATGTCTGAACAGAATATGACGTTTCTTCGAAAAACGATCCAGTCACCAGCTTGTTGTCATGTGTTCCCATATGTTCTCTGCTCCGCGCGATCTGAAAAAATCAGCGCCACGTGTAGATTCTGACCAGAAGTGACTACTGAGACAAATCTGACCCAGTGCTGCGTCTGAGGGTAAAGCCAAGATAGCCTGGTAGGACTACCAGGAGGAGGGTACTATACTAAATACTCCATCCTGGGCTTTGGAGTTCTCCCCCGTATGCGACTGTTCGGACGCTCGTGTCGATTTTCAGAGATGAGTGTTCCCGAAACACATGCGAATAGTCAGACCACGGGTGTAGAAAATCAGTCACAGGTCCACTGGTGGCCGCCATTCGGATGTCGATCTCGAATCGAGAGAGCCAGTTGAAATTCGATCGGAGAGGTCCGAAGCGGTGACAGAGCTCTTAACTTTGAGGCTTGTTGCCGATTTTCACTATGCTGCATGTGACACTTTCCGTCGACCCGTATGGCAGAGCGACGACAGAACGGCGCAGCAGAATCCTCGCTCGACTCCGACGCGACGTTCGCGGCCATGGTCCTGCAGTGATCTCCCGCCCAGTCAGTCTGTGCCAACGTTGCATCAATTACAACGGGCGAGGTCCTGAGATCGCCAAGTCAGCGTTTCACTTTGTCAGTCAATGGTCGACTGCATTTATTATATCCCTTTTATCTTGCGGTCGGTTGCCTTTGCCGCGAATCGCTGGCTTTTCGGTGTGGCTGGCGTTTGTTTCCCATCCCCTGAGTGCTGTTTTTTTCTCGAGGTCCCGTTCATTTGTTCTTCTTCTCATTCGCTTCCCTGTCGCTGTCGTCGGGAGGTTCGCCGAGTCAGCCTTTCGCCGTCTCAGGGGGAAAATAACTTTTCAATCTACTGTCGGGCGAAGAGGGAGAAGACTCGGTGCGACAACTTCGACACCGACACCGCGATTCCCGTGCTCAATTGAATCAATTCACGAGACGGTAGGGAAGCCTCGGGTCACCGAAGTCGTTCATCAATCGGAGACGAAGAAGCCATTTTCTCGACTGCGATCGACTTCAAGATCAACAATTAGATTAGTCTTCTGTCTCGAATGAGAATGGTCGAGTTCGAATTCCTGAGAGGGACCCGACTCTGGAAATCATCATTTTTCGAGAATGGCGCTCCTCGCCGCATTCTAGCAGACGATTCAAGCGGATATGTTGACAAACAGAGCACTCACATAGTTGCTAAATGGAATTTTCACGGTGAAACTCATCGAGATCTCACTCGGAGATCAGGTTTCACGAATAAGTCTTCTATTGACCTTGTTGCGCCCGCCCTCGCGTCATGCTCGGTAGACCATCGATAATTTTCCGGCCCGCTGCGCAGCTTGTACGGTGTCTGTGCACTCCGGTAGCTCTAGAGTCGCTGAAAGCTAAGTCCGCGCACGACAGGAAGAACACGTTTTCCGATTGGAAGAAGGTACGGACCGTCGGGGGAAATGGTGGAAGAGGTTGCATATCTTTCATGCACCTGTTCAGCAATCCAGACGCCGGTCCCGATGGCGGCGATGGTGGTAACGGCGGCCATGTGCTGCTTCAAGCCGAACCTACGGTGAATTCACTGGGAAACGTTCCATCCACACGAATATCGGCCTGGGACGGTCAACCGGGACTCGGAAAAAACTGCCACGGAGCCAAGGGCGAACACGTCATCGTCCCTGTACCTGTCGGTACGATTGTCAGAAAAGAAGATGGTACGTTTCTGGCAGATTTGAGTGTGCCGGGCATGATGTTCCTGGCCTCGAGAGGAGGTGCGGGTGGTCGCGGAAACAATTATTACTTGAGCAACGAGAACCGGCATCCGCAGATATGTCAAATCGGTGCTCCGGGAGAAGTGAGAACATATACGCTGGAAATGAAAACCATGGCTCATGCCGGGATGGTGGGATTCCCAAATGCCGGAAAGAGCACACTCCTACAGGCAATTTCCAGAGCGAAACCGAAAGTTGCCGCTTACCCGTTCACAACATTGCGACCTCATGTAGGAATCATTGAATACGACGATTATGAGCAAGTTGCCGTAGCCGATCTTCCGGGTATTATCAAGGGTGCACACGAGAACCGCGGTCTCGGTATCGACTTCCTGAGACACGCAGAACGCTGCGGGTGCCTCTTGTACGTTGTCGATGTCGGCGCAGACGACTACGAGGAGCAACTGAAGGTCCTCCAGGACGAACTGGAGTGCTATCGGAAGGGATTTTGCGAGAGAATCTCGATAATCGTTGCGAACAAAATCGATCTGCTGGAGGAGGCCGAGCTGAACGAGCGAGTTCGGCGGCTGGCGTCGCAATGGGACATGCCAGTTGTTCCGATAAGTGCAAAGTTCGGAACCAATGTTACAGCTCTACTAAAGTATCTGCGGAGATCTTACGACGAAGTCAGAGCGAGACTACCTGCGCCCGTGTCCGATGTGATAGTGGGTGAATGATTCCGAGCCATAGGACTAGGATTATTGTGTACATAAGTGTTCGATTGAGAGTTCGAGAAACCCAATAAAGCTCACATTCATGGACAATGGAATTCTTCATTCGCTTTGCACGCCGGAGGTGCTTCGCTCCACGTAGAGCCGTCGCTTTTTCTCGGGGCAGCCAGGATGAGCTCCGAGGAAATCTCCCCGATTCGGAATCTGGAACCCTTCCACCGTCGACCAATATCTTGGATGATATGTGGGAACGGCCAGTCTCTCGACAAGCAGCAACGTTCTCCGTCCTGATGTAGTCCTCCAATGTTCGTCCCGGGAATAATCCAATTCTTTGGCAATGTCTGAGTTTCTTTTTTGCGGCGAAGCTTTCCTTCAAATTGATGAGGTTTTAAGAATCTCTCTCTGGTGAAGAGCCACCTCCAAAGAGTCTGGATGTAAATGAGTCGCATGGTCAGCGTTTTCCTGTGACTCGCCGGAAAGCGAAAGATAGAGAAATAGTAAGGCATCGACTCAACGGAAAGACGAAGGTGTTCTCTACATTCTATTGTTTCCAAAGCTGAATTAAACATGAGTTGGGCTCTGCCCCCGCGTCTGCCAGTCCGTCAGTCGGTCGGTTCCCTGTAGTGTCCCTCATATCACTTCCCGCGGTCTCCGGGTCACCTTGCTTGCGGCTGCTCGACTAAATTCCACGGCTGCCCATCATCCGCTGTACCTGGATTGTGACGACTGGGCTAGCTCAACCTTTGTGTCTGCTCAGTCTTTCATCTGTTCGTTTACAGGAACAGATAAAGAGTTTCTAATCAATTGAGCGCTGGAATCCGATTGATGAGCAGATATCGAGTTGCCGCGCCGCTGCGAACTCCGTCTGTGTGCGGGTCGGAGCAAACTTGCGTTGCGGAACGAACTGTTCACGCACCAACGTACCTCGACCAAAGCCTCTCTGAAGTCGGACTCACCTCGGTGTGATGGACTGGCGGGTAGGCGGCCAGGCGGATGGAGGAGGAAACGAACGAACGAACGAACGAACGAACGAGAAAGAGAGTGAACTCTCTTCCTGTGGAGGGGCTCAAAGCCATGCTTGAGTGGTACACTTGGTCATTTCACGGGGATTAGAGCTCCACTGGACGAGATAGAAGCGCCGGACAGTGCAAATATGTCGATCGTCAGACGTCACCGTCGGCCGGATCGGTAGTTGACGAAATATAATCGAGAAAGTTCTCGCGCTGTATTTGGATCTTATGAGGACTTCGGGAAATTGGCGGAGGAGCGCAAGTAGCCCTCCGCATGATTGTTCATCTCAAATCTGAATCTCTGCCGTTCGCAGGCGTAGCTGCTGGGTTTGCTTCGCGACGGATGAAGACGATCTTGAGGCGTCATGGGTCGAGCCCTGCAAGTGCAAAGGGACCACAAAATGGGTCCATCAACAATGTTTGCAACGTTGGATCGACGAGAAGCAGCGAGTCAATCATACACAGAGAGTGAATTGCCCACAATGCAACACGGAGTATTTGATCTTCTTTCCGAAGTTCGGTAGGTGCTCAATGTTCGAGATTTAGTGTAAGAGGTCTCGGTTGACGCGGATGATGGTATTTTCTATCTTTTGCAGGACCTTTCGTCTACGTCTTGGATCTCGTTGATCGTCTCCTGTATAGAGTTTCGCCCTTGCTTACAGCTGCTGTTGTTCTGGGTTCCGTGTATTGGTCGGCGTTGACGTACGGCGGAATCACAATATTGTTGGTGAGCTGAGATATACGATTTGGAGGGACGAATCGGATGGACTCCCCTCCGGAAGAAGTCATGATTCCCTTCTCCTCCAGGTTTCTGGACAGAATGAAGGCGTTCGCATAATCGAGCAGGCGGATCCCATATTCCTCTCCGTGACCCTCCCAACCATCCCTGTCATGCTAATTGTGATCAAAATGGTTCCTTGGGACAACTATCTGCTCAAACTCTGGTGGCGACACGCATCGAGGTGAGGAGTAACCGCAAGTTTATTCCTCCGATCGACGGGGAGAGGATATCACGAGTTTCCAGCTCAGTGAAGTAACGGAATTCTTTTTCGGCAGATTACCTGACATGAGAGGTTTGTGCAGCTCATTACGCGGTGAACTGCCCGGTAATACATTCGTTGAGCCACCAGAAACAGTCAATCGGCTATTGGATCGAACTTTGTTAAACGATAGCTACTCTGCGACGCGAGTGTTCGTTTCCGCTCTGATGCTGCCTGCCGTAGGTGCTCTGGTTGGCCGAACATGCTTTTCAGGGGTGCGAACTCCCCTTCAAAGAACATTGTTGGTAAGTTTCATCCCAAGGGATCCACTCCACGCGGCTTCGGTGCATTCTCCGCTAATATCCACTCTACTAATGCTTCAGCTCCCGCTCCAGATAGCGAGAGAAAAAAGGGGAGCTTTCAACTCTCAGGGTGAAGTTTGTGGCCGAAACTTTCACGCTGACGTACTTTACGTCCACGGTGAGCTCGGAGCTCTATTGTTGCCGAAAGACCAAAGCCTGAAAAACGAATTCGGGAGAACAAGCTCGGCGACGATACTTGGCAAAAGCAGAGAATACTCTTTATTAAGTTTCCATGGCTCACTCGGTACCTACGTAGGTTGCCTATTCTCGGTTGACTTCGTGATCCTTTCTGCGATCGTAGCGAGAAGGAATTCGGGCTCATCGTCCCCGACAATAATACGACAATGCTTCGTCCTACAGTTTGGTAAAATTCCAACAACGATCTCCGTCTCCAAAGAATGATCCTCTGCGTCTCTCTATCGTTCTCCAACATATTTCCGCTTCGTCCCGTGAGACGGCAACAGCTTCTCTCCCCTTCATGGTCACTAATAACATTGATCCATTAGTCGGTCAGTCGCTTAAATGATTCGGGCAGTCAGTCGAACTTGTTTTGAATCATTTGATCAATCACTCATCCATTCACGTAGTCGAGTACTCAACCAATTGAACAGGCGGGCAGACGTGCAGACAATCTGGATCTATCACATGAGACAACGTCGGGTCCATCGTGGTGCTGTGGCGTTATTTACAGTACGGAGTGACTCGATGGATCTCTCTCATCGGGCCACCGCCTCATCAGGACAAGTTCTTTCGAGGATATAAGGTGGATTCAGAAACAACGGAGACACACGACCAGTTTGTTAACTTTGAGCTATCGGTGTCGCGCGTCTTCTCTCTGGTCGTCGCTCGCTCCAACGTGTATCCACCTAATTGTTTACCTATGATTTCTCTTTATACATCTCGCCCACTCCGATACTAGACGTGGCGAGTGTCGCCGATTTGGTGAGGCTGGAATCCGTCAGGATCATGGCATCGTCACTAGATGCCGTTCGTCTTCGGGCACTTTTTCGGGCATGGTGGTTGACTAGACAAAGAAGTAGACGCCGGGACAGTGCGACTCAGTCGGAGTTCGGACTCGCTGAAATTGGCCGTCGTCGCCTCTATTCCCTCGGAGCCTTGCTCGTCCTTCAGGAACGATCCGTATTCCTTACATGGCATCGAAGTTGAAGCGATGTGCCTGTTGCGCTCTTTCGATTTTGTCCGCCTTCTTCTCCATCATGTGGAGCGCCAGGATTATGAAGACGTTGACTACCACAACACCAAGAAGAGTGATTCCGGTGACCAGCATTTTACGTGATGGCGTGATGAACAATTTGTTCTGCCACTGGGACGGCTCGGTGGCCGGACTCGGAATGACCAGCATTTGAGAGTTGGGAATGATCTGAGTCCACTGGTGACTTCTATTCAATCCGGGCATGCGCACTTCGAGACTCTCGACGAAATTCGGCGATAGTCCGATGCCGAAGAGAATGTACGGCAGCTGCAACGAGCCATGACTCGTTTGGTAGAGTTGGGAAGCCATGGAACTCCTCATTTTGCCCTCGGAGTCAATTATACTGTAGGTGACTACTGGTCCGGGTTGATTGTACCTGAAACGGAGACGCGAACATTTCATCAGTCATAAGTTCCATCTCGAAGTTGGGGCAATCCTCATCGATGACTAAAGGATAATGAGTTCTGATGTGCGCTCGATGCTCACCCATATTCGATGATATTCTTCTTTTCTATGCAACGATCCTTGGCACAGAGACCACTGACCGTGATAACTTTGATGAAACAGGCGTCCTCGGCGTAGGTGTTCTCCAAGGCGGATATGCTCCAGTTTGCCTGTTTGAGATCGCCGGTTGTGACCAAGACGTCCATTTTTCCATTCTCTCTGATATCGAAGAAACCCAAGTTCGTCACTCGGGGGAACTTCTTGAAGTCTCCCGGATTGTACACCGGCGTCAAGGTGCGACCCAGGGGGCAAGCGCCATCTTTATCGCAGGGTCGGTTCAAAAGGCTTACGACTCCTCTTTTCACGTTCCTCGGGTCGCTCGGATCCACGTAGATTGCCATGAAGTCCGGGTAGCCGTCTTGATCGAGGTCAGCCGATTTGAGAGCCATCATTGCGTTCACTTCGTTCTGATAGCTGGTGTCTGTCCAGAACTTGAACGATTTCAGCGTGAAAACCGGCTGCCAGTTGCCCGCGAAGGTGCTATTCGCCTTCGGCACCCAAACGAGGATTTGATCGCTGCTTCTCGTAGATCGCTGAACCAAATGCGATAGCTTTCCTGATGAGTCGAAGTCAACGAGCACTGACTGACCAATGTCGGACGCTCGGAGGCCCTCTGGATATGGCCGATTGTGAGGACTGAGCTCCCATTCACCCGGGGCTTTCCAGATCCAGATTTCGAAATGCTTTTCGGTGGATATCAAGAGATCGGGGTTCAAGTCCCCGTTGAGATCCACAAAGGAATTCGAATGGTAGACGGCCATCGGAGCCAGCGTGCTTTCGCTTTTGCCCAGAGTTCTATTTCTATTGCACGAACGTCCTTCACAAGTTATCACCCTTCGGCTTATTCTCGAGCTGTCGTTGGACGTGAGAATGTCGACGATCCGATCTCCATCGAAATCGAATAACGACGGCTCTGCGTGAACGTCTTTCACTGTGACGGCTCCACTCTGGAAGAAGTTAGAAGTTCGGTCAAAGATCGTCAGGTCTGACGCTCCGCGAACGATGATACTCATAATGATCAATTCCATCTCATAATTTTCAAGTACTCGACCGCTCACCAAGTCCAAGAGGTTCGTAGCGTTCGCGTAATCTCCTGTCCCCCAATAGATAGTGATGGTCGACGTCTCTTTCGAGTACAAGAGGACGTCCTGTATCCGGTCGCCATCGAAGTCGGCCGGTATAATCGAATCTACTCGATGAGGCAGGTCTTTCAGAAGAGTTGTTCGCTGCGGAATTCAAGATTACTGTTCATTTAGGGCTACTGGTGAGCTCGCCGCCGTAAGCCGGAGAGAGACACATCCTATCGAAAGTCCCCACATCCACATTTCAGCTCTGTGGCTTCTCATAAGCCGGAGAAAACTGGATCAGAATGAACTGAACGAAACAAGGGTGCGCACGTTGGAGCGATCGTTCAGTTTAGAAATAGAAGCTGTCCGAGCTCCCAAGGCCGACGTCGTCGGTTTTCACATCGGAATAAGTTCTCCCGACGATTGCACCACGTGCTGTGCGGGCAAACTTCTAGGTGGTAGCGAATTATTTTTGACTTCCGAAGCATATTCTATCACGTCTCCTCTGGCGTCTCGAATCATTGATCGATGGAAGCTCGTATACGCAGTCCCCTGCCGCTCGAATCAATTCCTGAATCCAGCTCGAAGACAGTACCTTCTTCTAGGTACAGCGCCGCGACACGTCTTTGTCTTCGTTTGTGACTTTTCGGTGTTGGACTCTATTCACTCTATCCGTTTTGACGGCCATCTTCGCTAGGAGACGAGCTGCCACAGATCGAAGATGAGTCATGTCTGACACACTGCAATCCCAGAAACACGACGACGCGAGCAAAAAGCGCTGAAGTCTGACGTGACATTTCGCATGTTTGATTCACAACAGGACTCTGTCTACTGAGCGATTGCACAGTCGGACGTCCGAACCGGAGTTGATTGTTTCGTCCTGCCCGTCCGAGGAGAACACGTCTGATTCACCAGCCAGTGTTCGAATCATTGTTCGAAAATCGGTTGTCAGAGGGTGGCCGAAACGAGACCAAGTTCTGTGACACACTATCGTTTATTTGAAAAAGTCGGAGGGCTGTCCCGATGTGAAAAGGATACCGAGAGATTCCATCTCGATTGTATTCTATCGTGTCCTTGATTCACCCACGTAACCGGATCACACGTCCGCGTCAAGATGGCGAATTCTGTTTCAACCTGATTGCTCTTTGATATGGAGTGGTTTCCGGCCGAGAGACGAAACCTACCGTGAACTTCTCTTCGCTGAACCTCGAAATGAGCGCCTGATTCAGGTCGATTTGCGTGAAACCTTTGCTCGAATCCTGAGCTATTAGCACAAACACGTCGATGGATTTATCACTGTTGAAATCCGCGAATGCTGCCAGATATCCACTTTCGTTCCCGAAAACGTTCTTTGTTATATCTCTGAAGTGGTCATCGGCTCCCCAACACAAAGGCAATACGAGAAATAGCAGTAAACTTTGGCTGAGCATTTTGGCAATCGCTTGCTTCGAACGCACAGCCATACTTGTTTGCGTCGGAATGGCAAGCTGGCCGACGACTGCTAAGTGCGGCTGCTGCGGCTACCTCTTCTCAAAAACTCTCTGCGAATGGTCTGCTCAGTCCTTAGCGCCGGTGAACAACAACAGACGACAGAGCAGGGGAGAGTGAATGGAAGGGCCGCCCGGCGATTCTCTTCGGGCGGAGTGCTTTCATCCGGTGAAACGGTCGAGAAGGGTGAAGGAACGCTCTCGCTGTCGATCCTAGCTGGGGATCGGCGATTCCCGTGCTTGTTCCCGGTCTGAGCATGCGGAGTCGAGTTTAGCGAAAACATCTCTCAGATCAGGTCCCCGGGTGCGGGTCTCTTTGACTGCGCCGACGACGGGCGGCTCTGAATTTAGCGCACACGACTCCAGCGCTCAGCTGTTCTAAGATAGTATTCTTGTTTATGGAGAGTATGGGTCTCGACGAAACTTCATCTCGAAGCCTGCACCCCGGCGACTGTCACGACCTATGAGCAGATTTGACCGCCCGACGAGAACACTCCAGATACGCAAATAGGCTTTCTATTCAAAACCGAAGAGAGTATCTCACGTGCGCCGAGACTCGACGCCCGCCTCAGGGTGTTGGAGAGGTCGTTTCGCGCATTCGAAACTCATTGACCGAACTACGATCAGTGAAATCGCGAGACTGTGAAAGAAACCCTCGCTCAGACTCTCAAAGGGAACTCTAGAGCCACCTGAAGATGTTGGCCTCTGCGCTCCGCGTGTCCGCGCGCCGGCAATCTTCATTTGGAGCGATGAATGTTTTCGACAGAGAAGCCAAGAGAAGACATCGGGACCGTTGGGCAACGGACCCTCAGGCTGAAAAGAGTGACTATCTGAAAGAAGAAGTCGGCTATCGGCTCGCAGACAGACTCTTCGACATAAAGCGGAAGCTCAACACAGTCGTGGAACTTGGTTGCGGTAGAGGATACATCGCGCAGCATCTCGACCAGGAAATAGTGGAGAACTTAATAATGTGCGATATGTCTAGCAAGGTCCTGGACGTTGCGAGAGGGAACGATAAATTGAACATCCGTAAGATGATGGTCGACGAAGAGCAACCTCTTCCGTTCGAGAAAGATTCCATCGATGCGGTCGTATCCAGCATGAACTTGCACTGGGTCAATAACTTGCCGGGTCTGTTCTGTAGCGTGTTCGACGTTCTCAAGCCCGACGGAGTCTTCACGGGTAGTCTCTTGGGCAGCGACACGCTCTACGAGCTGAGAGGAGCGATTCAGACCGCCGAGAATGAGCTCGAAGGCGGTTTTGGCATCCACGTATCTCCGTTCGTTCAGGCTTCTGACCTGGGCGGCCTGCTGCGAAGTGCGGGATTCACCATGCTGACACTGGATTCAGACATGATCTGCGTGGGCTATCCGAGCATGAGAGAGCTCATGGCCGATCTGAAATCGATGGCAGAGAACAATTGCGTTTTGAATCGGAAAACGCATTTCCATCGTAAGACTCAGGAATTAGCTGTCAAGAAATACCAAGAGCTCTATGGAGACGACAAGGGCAACATCCGAGCATCGTTCCATATCCTCTCTTTCATCGGTTGGAAACCGCACGAGAGTCAACCTAAGCCAGCTAAACGCGGCAGTGCTACGATGTCATTGAAGGATCTCCACAAGCTGCACGACAAACCAGCCGAATGAGTCATATTTTAGGGAAATGGAATGACTTCGATCTAATAAACGAAGACTGTTCTTGTGACAGAGAGACACCCTTTCCTGAATTCAGAACATTTCGGAGTTCCTCCGAGATCAGCTTCCGAGAGCAGTCGGCTGAAGCAGAGTTCGGACAATTCGCTCCAAGACCTGGTGGAGCCTGATCTTTTTTTCGGTATCTCCGATTTTCGGGGACCTTGATCGCTGAGTGAGAAGCAGCTATTTCAGAAAATTCCCACCGATTGTGGGATGAATGACGCCGGCCGGAACACGATCAAGACGGGACCATTTCGAAATGCCCGGAATTAGTTTCGTGTTGCGGGAATTTTGCACCGCGAGAAATAACTTTCGCGTGATCAAAACACTCCTTTTAAAAACAAGATGTGTGAACCATGAAAATCCTCCTTCGGGCTGATTTAAAAATTCGTAATCGCGAGGTTAACAATTTCTAAATAGATTAGGCATGCTCGGGAGGGATTAAAGATCAAGTTTATGGAGAAATTCGAGGATCCGAGGTTTCTCACGATGTTGCTCGTCTTATTTCCAGGGGTGCTTCTCTTTCATAATGGTGAAAGGAGTTTTCAAGATCTACTTGCGGCGGAAGCAAGTTCTGCGCCAGCTAAAACGCAAAGTGCTCAATTACGGCGATGACATCAACGAGGACGAGGAACTGGCGCTATACGGAGAAGACGAGGACTAACTTTGGACTTACTGAATCGAGGGAAATTCTCGAAGAACTCAACAATTATCATCATACACGATCATCGATTCTTACACTCTCGCGAGTGATCCTATGCATGCGCATGACTCTATTCGAATAATTATGACGGTTTTGTTACGTTTGCGGAGGCTTGCAGATACGGAATAATTCTTGTAGAGCCGATAGGAATCGCAGCATCTTGCTTGTGGATGTTGAATGATTCTCGCCTTTTCCCAATGGGGATCGACTAGAGCCGAGAGTGTTCACTGTACGTTTTCGGAAATAAAGAATGCTGCGATTTGCACTGTTTCAACAAAGAAGTACCTCCCATCCATGTCGTCTTCTCTCGATGTTCTTCGGACATCAATGGACTCCTCAAGATCACAGCGGGCGACTCAATCGACCGCGGGCGCATTCCGGACCGAAACTTTCGATCAGCGCTGAAGCCCTCTGCTTGGGAGAACTGAGGGAGGAGAGGCTTGTTGCCGGCAGGAGGACTAAAGAAGACAGCGCGAGATACATCAACAACAAATCAAGCTTGTTTATTTGGACATCTTCCAGCAGCTTACCTACGATAAACTTCATCTGAGCGAAATTTATAGCTACGTAGACAAGTTCTGGTCGCATTTCAATATGGTATAACTCCGCCGCGGTATGGTACAATGTGCTCAGCATCCGCTCACGAAGCGGTCTCATCATCTCTTTTCACACAAACATTCAAGTCACAACTAGGCTCTATCGGCCCCGTTGTAACTTCACTCCGACTATAGTTCGCCTTCCTCGAAGTTTCTGAGCAAATGTCCAATCGATTCGATAAAAATTCCGAATCGTCCCTCGTACTCGTGGCTCTGCGCGCAAAACAATTCATCGCCCACCCAACGGACGCTGATCGGCGAGAAATTCAATTAGAACAAACCGTAGTTCCCTCTTTCTCGATTTCCCCGCACCTGACCTCCTACCTAGAGTGTTCGAAAAATACCTAAACCTGTGTTTCTACAAGAATGGTTCTGATGTGGGGAGCTATCAGCCGCTAGAGTTTTAGCTGCTTGCTTTCGAGTGACGGGTCTTCGGTTTTGGCGACGGTGGACCCGCCGGCGCTCGTCTTCTCTGAAAACGGAATCAGTCCTGTAGCCAGCCGTCACAAAGTTTCACAGCGAATCGACCAGACATTATCAATTCATATGCCCCATTCGACATTCGTTTCACGCATCCGTACGAGTTCCTCACACATCTGTAGCCAAGTTGACGACGTTCCGTTAGGGAAACATTCCACAGAGAGACTCTCTAGTCAACTAACTTCACAAGAAGTACTGCCCTCCATTCGTCGACAGATCCGATGGTGGCAGCAATGAACAAGACCGTTGTCTTCGTAAATTAAGCCTAACAATCGACACCGATCTTACAATCGACGATACATGAATACATGGAAGGCTATCGGAGCAATGATGATGACTGATGCCTATCCGATAGAGGGTCGTTCCTCTTGGACCGATTCTGCTCAAGGGCCCACAGAAGCCAGATAATCTTGACGAGGATTTGAAGAAAATTATCTTCAACCCGCTGACGCGGAGAAGTCTCTTCCTTCTATCGACAGCTTTCCGGGGCACGTCACCGCAGAGCTAGGCGATCCCACCGACTGGGTCCGCATACGAATAGAGGCAAGTAGGAGAAAGGCCACAAATACTCTACGGATGACTCAATCAGCTATCTCGATATACTTCTTTTGGCTCGTTTCGGGCCCGTCGAGGAGCTCCTGCTATCATCCGCTTCCAGATCCACGTCGAGCGGAGTACGTTTGAGGGAGATTTTCTGTCGGTTGTCCAACTTATCGAAGAACGGGTGGTCGAGCGCTTTCCGGAGAGACAAACGCTCCTTCGGATCGTAGGCTAGCATTTTCCGGATGAGATCAAAAAGATCACGGACGTTGTCGTCGCCGTTCGATATATACCGTTCGAGCGGCTTACAGTGGTCACGCACGTAGCGACCCGCAGACGACCTTTCGTCCCAGTCTAAACGTCCATTGTAGAAGTATCGCGTTTTCGTGCGCTTGGACATCTTGGGCGGGATGGGACCGAGAATTCGTTCCATCATGGCGAGATGCTCCCGGTTGTCGTGAGTTTGGAACAAGGTGATGCCCAAATACAGCTCGAACAGAATACAGCCAATACTCCAGATGTCGCACGACTGATTCCAACCGAGTTCGAGGATAACTTCCGGCGCACGATAATGTCTCGTGGACACGATTGTCGAGTGGTATTCGTGGTCGAACGTTGCGGAGCCGAAATCGATCAATTTAATCGTCGTATCTTTCACCTTGCGAACCTCGCGTTTCTTGCGATCGTTGAATTGGACATCGAAATCGGATCGAACAAAAAGGATATTCTCTGGTTTCAGATCGGTGTGGGTGAGGTTGTTCTTGTGCAGATAATACACCGAGCAGATCAGCTGATATCCTATATGTCGCACCTGATCGATAGGATACGGCTGGTATTCGTTATCCTTGAGGAAATCGAAAACCGACAGGCCGAGCATCTCAAACGCTATGCACATATGACCGTGATAATTGAACCAATTCAGCATCCGGACGCAGAGTTTATGACCGGTTGCATCCTCCTGCCGGTTGAGCGTTTCCAGGACGTTGATCTCCAGCTTGGCCGACTCTCTGTACTTGTCCACGTTCTTGATGATTTTCAAGGCGAGCTTCTCTTTTGTTTGCTCGTCGACTACCTGGACAACCTTACCGAATGTGCCTTCGCCGAGCGTCGCTATGATTGTGTACCGACCCTTGATCACGTCGCCGATCTTGTAGACTAGATGTCCCTCGGAGTCGTCCTGTATCGGGGTCTTGGTGCTGCTGCCTTTCGGCGAACGTGACCTTCCATCCTTTGCGGGTTTCTCATTGGCGCGGGACCTCGACCGCTCCCGAGCCCTTCTCTTCCTTCGAGTTTGCGTCGCGGACGTCGTCGAGATCGTCGCCCGGCTGGTTGTTGTAGACGACGATTGTTTTCTCCGGCTGCTTGAGCTTTTAGATGAATGCGTCATCATGTGTTTTTGAAGAAGCGTTCACAATAATACTCTGCTAAGAAATGTTCGAAAGTTACCTCCACGAAGAAATGTCACCGTACGTCGACACAGCGGCAGCGGGATGTCGATACCGACAGATCATCAACGAACTTAGAGTGTGCGAGAGCGCTCACGATGGAATTTCGATTTCGGAATGAATAATGCGGCGCTACCACCTCGTCACGAGGGGGACTTCGATGCGAAGTAACAATGATATAAAAAAAATTTCGGAACGGAAAGCCTTACGTGGAGAATTCCGAGCTCGATTTTCGCCAGTTGTCGCTGATATTTAAGTTAATGCGGTTGTCAATACGCAGCTGTTTCGGTTCACCCGCTCGAATCTGTTCCGCGGGTTCGAGGATTCCGATCGCGTCTAATCGCAGCCGCTTCCCCGTTGCTGATGCTAACAGCTTCTCGAGAGACCGCTGGCTCCAATGGCTAGAAATTAGGCCCGCTACCTGACTGATTGGCTAGCTTACTGGCTCGTGGCTGGTGCTCGCTGGCCGCAGCGGCTGCTGCCGTTGTTGTTTTTCGCTTTCTCGTTGCTGATCGACTGCAATGAGGTTTACAAGAACATAGCCTGTTCTCACCTTAGAAACTTCGAGAAGTGATTGGGCACACTTCTGTTGCGCAACCGCTACTTCTCGAGTCGACCACTGCCACTTCGCAGCTCTTTCGCTACGGTCCTATAGGCTACGGGATTTCGGTGGGAACGTTTACAGCACTCAGTCGTCTCCGCTTCGCAAATGAGAAATCGAGTCGATCGAGGCACCGGAAGTTGACATGAATCCTACGATAGCGCGCGAACTTTTAAATGTAAATCGAAATGCTTATGAATCGACTGGATCTCGTGAGCGGGTACTCCGTCTCCCAACGGAGATCTGGAGAGAGATGAATCGGATGATGGGGAACGGAGAAACCCTCAGTGGGAGAGATTTTGGATTGGAAAGAAATCCACCCGAGAACGAATGGTAAACAAAGTAGCAGACGACGCGCTGCTTATGTCCCACCCCGATGCTCTTCTGTCTTGGGAGAGGTGGTGGTGTCTGAGAAGAACATCTGACGTGCCGATTCGAGTCAGCTCAGATCTGGAACTGCTCATACTGTTTTTCCAGAGAGACAGGTCTCGCCTGATGACATAAGAAGTGAGTGGACTGGGAAGCTGCCAAGGCCAACTCTCTATTCCCGAGCGAGGCTGTCAATGGTTTTACCTTTAATTGAAGTCGGTGAAAACTTGTTTTGGAACATGTCCCTCTGGAAAATTCGGGATTCGACCCCTCGAATCGCAGACCTTCGTTCCCTTTCCGGCTCCCTGTGGCTCTCACTCTTGCCCCGAAGCAGGAATACATTGTGCGAAGGACAGCGTGAGCTCGGCCGTTCGAATCAGCTGTCTAGATAGGATCATTGGTCGGCATGAATCCAGAGCTTAGATTCGTCTGATGGGGGATCGTGATACATAAGACAGATCGGAGTTCGCGGAGATGGGCTTTTGGAGGCAGGAGGGAGAGAATCTCTAGATACCTGCACCAAATACCTGATCACGTTTTTCTGATTCGACAGCTATGGGAGGCTCGTTCGGATCCCCGAAATGAATCTTTGCTCGGCTAGATTTCCTGCGGGGATCCGAATTAAGGCAGAATCATAGGCAACGAGAAGCCTTCACTAAGATTCCCCTTCCGCTTCCAGCATGGCTGAAAAGTCATTCAAAGTCGGAGATCGCGTGGAGGTTCCGGGGAAAGATGCGCTGGGGAAAGTGGCCTTCGTAGGGACGACAGACTTCTCATCAGGGTTGTGGATCGGTGTGATCCTCGACGAGGCCAAAGGGAAAAACAATGGGACCGTGCAGGGGAAAACATATTTCAATTGTCCGGACAATTTCGGGCTTTTCCTCCGACAGTCTCAAGTGAAAGCCTTGGATGATATGTCGTCTTCGAGAACCTCGATCGGATCGTCTGCGTCCTCTACGGGTAGGCCGTCTACAGGCAGCAAGCTCAGACCACCAACTACGGGACCTCCACGCAAAATATCAGCGGGGAGCGAACGGAAGAGCAGCGTGGGAATCGCAAAAGCACCGAGTCGAGCGGCTAGCAATCTCTCGGTTGCCGCGGTGAGAGGATCAGGCAGTTTTATTTGATTCTATTGCACCGGAGCCTCGGGTTTTCCACAGAGAGCTCCGAGTGCCCCGCCCCCCCCCCTCCAAAACGCTCCTGATCTAGGGGAAAGTCTTTTGAAGTGTCATCTTCCGATTCCAGTCGGAAAAATCGATCGACGACATGTCGGCTTCCGTGGCTTCGGTCAGCGCGTCAACGATAGGGAACATCCAGCTTGAAGCTGAGCTCAGCTCGACGAAGGCAGAGATTCTAAAAAAAGATAAGCAGATCGAGGACCTTCAGGAGAAGCTGGAAACGATCATTGCGAAAAGGAGTGAAGATCGGGAGAAAATCCGAGAGTTCGAAAAAACCAAAATCCAGCTGGAGCAGCTGCTCGAGTACAAAGCGAGGATCACAGAGAGTCAGGCTGACCTCCAGAAGCAACTCGCTCAGGTAGGGCTCCTAGCGAAGCATCGCAGAGCTTCCGCTCAAGAGAGAGGAATACCGAAAATGCGGGATAAATTTTCCCGATAACCTCGAATGAGTGGGATCCTTGCACTCGCAGGCCAAGAAAGACGCTCAGGATGCGCTCGACGAGAAGAACCGCCATGCAGAAGAAACGAGCGATGTCAACGAAGCGATCGAAATGGCGACGCTAGACAAAGAAATGGCGGAGGAGAAGGTAAAGCTTTCATTCAATGATTCATTACTTCTCCATCGAAGAAAGACGTTCCGACGCAGAAAGGTCTTCCGAGTTCGTAGCTGGATGAATATGTTCAATGTTTATTTAACACGAGGTAAAGTAGCAAAAATAATGTCACATGTGCACAGAAGCTCGATGGCGAGATGAGGATTGAAGCTGCTGCGCTATCTCTTCCACGAGCTCGGCGGGAAAACCTGGTATTTACGATAGAAGAAGGGGTTGTACAGATAACCGGGAAATGTACCGCCACCCTGGTAGCCCATTTTCTTGAGCAGTTTCTTCAATAAGAAGAAGCCCTCCGCCTCGATGAACAAGCTGGCCTGAAACATGGCACAAGCAGACATGAAATCCAAGAGAAACCGATTGGTCACAGATGTCTGATCCTCAGATCGATAGTATCCTTCGTCAAACGATTTTCGAAAACACACACTCACGAGCACAAAAACTGTCAAGCACAAGAACAGACCGCTCCGCGTCAGCATACCGGCATCCGTTGCGGTTATAGATAAGGTGATGCCAGGCTTGCTCATTGTACCTAGTTTATATATAAACGCAAATAGAGCAAGGCTGATCATGGTGGAAACGGAACCGCGGATGAGCTAAGGCCGAATCGTTACGACACTCACATTTCGCGTATTAACATCTGTGACGACCGAGCTTTCGGCGCACGGTCCCCCCTCTGACCCTATGCGCGACAGCGGCGGCTGAGCTCCGAGGGACATCGGGGCCTGGGGATCTCTTAGAACCCTAAGTCTTCCCGAAAGGAATTTCCGCTCGATTTTGCTCCCGACATGATTGTGGCGATGTCATAGCGGAAGAAATTCCCCGAAAATCGACGCCGACCAACGCATTGAAGCGTGAAGTTGTCGTCGGAATTGTTTCGAAGCTCTGACGCTATTAGGGCTTCAGCTCACCTTCGTGGGGCCTTTCCATGCGCTGACATATTACCACCTAATGGTGACAGAACAAACGTAAGCCGTATGGAAGAGGGCTTCAAGAGCAGGGTGTATCAGAAACCGCGTATTTCGGAGCCCACGAATCTTCAGTCGCAAATGGATTCTCAACACGGAAGGGGGGCGAGCTAAGTGAGCTCATAGATCATCGATATTCCCATCCGCAGGCCGAACAGCTCCAGTCTGAATTAGAAGACCTGAGAGCTCGCTACGAGCTGACAGAATCCGAATTGAACCTGTTGAAGAAGGAGTTGGAGTTGAAGGGTCCCGAGTCTGTGGGTGCCGACTACGAAAGAAAGAAGGACGAGCAAACCATTCAGAAGCTCAAAGACGCCGTCGTCAAGTTGCGAGATATCAACGCTACCGACAGGTGAAAGCGCGGGAAATGTTTTCTTCATTTTCAAAGAAACGGTGGAGTTTCCATCGGATCGCTCGAACGTTAAGGGAAAACTCTTATTGCGAGACTGACTCCGCTCTCGGATATTACAGAATCAAATTGACCGAAACCACAAAGGAGCTCGAGCAGGTCAAGCAAGATCTCTCCGAAATTCGTCGGTTGAATTCGAAGTTGAATCAGCAAGTCGATCAATATGAGGCTCAAATCGGAGAACTCCATGAGCAGGTGAGAAATGTCGAATGTATGCTCTATGGAGCGTTCTCCCATCAGGGGGATGAGATTGGCGTACAGGCGGAAGGTCAATGGATTATTTGCAGATCGACGCTGCCCTCGGAGCCGAGGAGATGGTGGAGAAACTCACAGAAAAGAATCTCACGCTCGAAGAAAAAGTTCGTGAGCTTCAAGAGGCGGTCGATGACCTGGAAAAGCTGCAGGAGCTGAACGATGAGCTGCAAGATACCGCGAGAGAAACGGAGCAGGATCTGCGGGAAGAAGCTGAGACAGCGAATGCCAAGGTATTATTCCGCTGAATATCGGCAGGCGAATTTCGCCTAGATCTATGATTTTCAGTCTGGGTGGTATCGATCACTCCTCTATTCTACCTCAATGACGGATTCCCGCAGTTATTGGACTCCCACAAGAAGATCGAAGCTATGAACTACGCGATTGCGGACTACGAGCAGACGATTCAGAAATTCCGTGATCATACAGAGAATCTTAAGGACAAGATAGAGGTGATGAATATTTCCCGTTTTTTGTGTGCTTGTCTGATGCGGAGGGTCGAGCAGAGAGTTCAAGCTCGGTTTTCCGCTGACGTAATCCGTTTTTTTTTCGAACAGGAGCTCCAGAAGCGTCTCGTGGAAGAAACTCAAGACAGATCGCTCCAAACCGCCACAGAATCCATCGACTACAAAGTGAGATTCGCCGAAACGAAAGCGCACGCTCGAGCGATCGAGATGGAACTCCGAAAGCTCGAGGTGATGCAAGCGAACCAACACGTGACCTACGTCTGTGCGTTCCTCCCCGATGCTTTCCTTCAACGAGGCGGGGATCACGAAGCGATAAAAATGCTTCTACTCGTGCCTCGAATCATTGCCAAGTGCGACATCCTCACGAGCCAATTGAGAGAGAAGTTTGCAGCTCCCGAGTACATTACGAGAGCCATGGTACTGAAGACGCATTCCGTAGAGCAGTACACATACGGATGCATGATGCTCTTCTACCTGTACACTCTCCACGCACTCCTGCAACAATTCACAATGTGAGTACGAGGAAGATAAGCCACGGGGTACAGTATTCTCGGTTCGAAGGGAACCTGCCGATCGTGCTGAAGCGAAACACTGAAAATCTCTTCCGTTCCTGCAGGGCTTTCAATTCGTGCAGTGTGGATTTGTATCAGAAATGCGCGACGCTCTTCACCGAGATGCTGGTGCAAGAGAAACTCATCGATTTCTACCTCGACCTCCTGCGCAAAGATCAACTCGATGAAAATGTGCCACTCGACAAACTGGAGAAAGCCGTCAGCTACTTCGAAAGTCTCTACAGGTGAATCTTGTTGATGAGTCAAAAAGTGTGATTTGAACTTCGTGTCATTGGTGTCGTTCTGGTGTCAATATTCTAAGGATTGTTACAATCATCAGTGTCCACCTGTCGTCGGAGAGGGTAGCTGGTTCCCAATTCATGGCGGATCGCCTCAAGGTGATGAGCGTTTGCTGTTACGCAATCTTGGCGTGTTTGAAGGCTATCAAAAGTCTGACGAAAGACAACAGAGACGAGCTTCTGGCACTTCTGGACGACGCGGTCGCACTGACTGAGGAAATCCAGCAAGTGCTCAAGAAAGTAAGCGATAGCCACAGGTTCCCATACCGACAGGCTTCCTGGCTTTCCTGGATATCGATCGGAGAAGAATTTGCCATATCTGCCCTAACAATGCAGAAACGTTCTATCCGTAGGTTAAGCGACGCGCACCTCTAGATCAGAATGCAGCTATAGTTCTAGAAACGAACAGCGACCTGCAGGAAGAAGTTTTGGAATGCTGCCATAAGCTAGGCCGGGTTTTCAAGGTGTTCTTAGGTTTGCAAAGGTCCGCGATCCAGACCACGATTTCTCAAGGAGAGCAGAGCGAAGAGATCCCACTGGAGAAGTTGAAGGAGCTCACACACGAGGCTACCGACTCCATTTACGGAAAAGACGATAACGGGCCGGAGTGTTTGCGCATGTCACTGAAGGGAGTGCTCGACACCTTGAATTCTCTGAATGAAAAGATACAAGATGGTTCCCTCGAGAGGGATTCGTCGACCATCATCAAAATCACTCCCCCAATTCAGATTTGCGCCCAGACAGCCAAGGAGAAGGCTAAGGACATGGAGCAGATGCGCGTTCGTATCGAACAGCAGATGAGCGATATTCAGGAGTTGCGAAAAACAATAAAAATCAAAACTGAAGAAGTGAGGGAGATGGCCCTGCGCAAAGACATGGCAGAGAAGAAAATCGATAGCGCCTACAAAGACATCGAGGATCAGAGAGACAGACTCCAGAGACAGCTGGACGAGCTGCAGATCCAATTGAAGAAGAAAGAAAAAGAGTTTGATGAGACGACCGAGGTCATGAACGCAGATCTCGCCCATCTCGAGAAAGAGAGACGTGAGCTGAGAAATCAGCTGAAGGATCTGACCCGGAGGAACAGCAGCGGTCGAACGGACATCCGGAGCAGTCCCATCCATTCGCCGCAGCAGTCGTCGGCTTCGCATGCGCCTTCCGCTGGTTTCATCCCGGTTGCAGGTGAGAATCCGCTCATTTACTGAACACACAATATCTTCTTGTCAAGCCTATCCCTCGGAATATTCAACGATCGAATCATCTGCGTAGCGTATCGTCGGGCGCCGTCACATTCGACCCTTGGGGCCTCATTAGGACGCATATCTAGACATATTCTTCATTTTTCGCAGATGGATACGTCGAGGCCCTACGTGACAGAGTGTACACTCTGACCAAGGCGTTGGAGGTCGAACGGTCGCACCGATCTTCTCAACAAGTGGACGCCTTATCTCAACAAGCATATCGTCTGAAACCCCTAGGTGTACCGAAAAATCCCGGCTGGCTTCTGAAAGCCACCAACATGAAGGACGAGGACCTTCCTCAAGACCAAGCAGAGCAGCGCGCCAAACTGCTAGAGCTCTCGAAGAAGATTCACTCGATCAAAGCTCAGTATCTTATCGCACTTGCGGAAGGCGGCGTCACGCCCCTCGGAACCGGAAAGGATGCTGTCACCACCCTCGCACAACACGCCGAACGAGACACCCGTCTAGTTCAGCTCAGAGAGCAGAGCTTTAAATTGCACGACGAAATCCGTCGTCTGGTAGCCCAACTCCGACCTGAGCACCACATCAACACGCATCTTAGGGAATTCCCGCATCCACTCTTCACCAAAGTGAGTTGATTCAGAATCCCCGCGGCAAGCTCCGCCTATTCCCTTATATCCAGGAGGCGGCTCGCTGAAAGAAGAACACTCGATCATCGTAGAAATCCGATTTGTATCTTTCAGGCGAAACTCGAAGGTGACGCCAGCTTAGTGGGCCGAGTCACCGTACCCTCTTCGGAATCGAAGACTCAGTCCCTATACGTGGATTATCCGATTATACACAAAATTCACTCGTCGATTCTGGCCTAAGGCGGGAACCGTAGTCAACTTCCCATCAACCCGTGATAGCCTCTAGAAAAACATCTTTTCACCGCCTGTATGGTTTTCTTCCGTGTCTGCCCCCGCGGTAGGCAATCTGGTTATCCGCTGAATAGATTCTATGAAAGTTTGTGATGATTTCGGTTTTTGATGAAGTCTGGCAGAAGGAGACAATAAACCCTATTTATGTATCGGAATGACGAACAGAGTTCTATAGTCTCGATTGGAGGTTATCCTTTTTAACTGGCGACGCTTGTGACAAATGGGGCAATTAACAACGATCGGACATGCTTCTCGATCAGTCGGTCGCTTCAGCTCGCAGAGCGCGATGATGAGCTGTCCCTCATCGGGGACAAGACTGGTGCTCCGCTTAGTGGCACTCGTTGCGAGTTTCTCTTCGACTCAGACGATATGGATGTCGGGAGGCTTCACGAGCCGACCCAACTTCTCCCTCCATGGAGCGGCTCGAGTGGCCTTCGATGTCATGCACCAGGACATCTGTTACGACAGCCACTCCGAAGTGTGCGTTGAGTTTACGTGGTCGTGCTACGAATCTACGGAGCTTGCACAGAATCCTCTCAACAGACACGCGAGAGTGCCGCGGATCCCTCGCTGGTATTTCCTCGATGTCGAGAGCGACAGAGAGACACTGAGGTTCGAGATGAGGAAAGCGACGAGCATGAATCCGACGGCTCGTCTGAGACCCTTCAAGAACTACACCGCCAGAGTGTACTCCATTTTCGACGAGCACGTGACGCTCCTGAGGAATTTCACTTTCCAAACGATCGTCGCGGCCCCATCTCCCGTCCAGCAACTCACGGTAGAGGTTCTGAATCGCCACGTCATGTACCTGCCCCGAGCCCGGAAACTCAACCTCAGCTGGCACGCTCCCCAAGACATAGGAGCCAAGAGACTCGCAGGCTACGTTGTGGGACTCTATAAAAAACCCGAGTTTAATTTCCGATCGACAAACACCAAGAACCTTACGATCGCCGAGATCGAGACCAATCATACGTGGCATATCATCGAACCGATAAATTTCTACGAGAAGAAGCTCTTCGTGAGAGTTGTTCCGTACAATCTTCTGCAAAACGGTACGTTCGTCTATGGTCAGGAGGCTGTAGCGGATGTGTACCTCCGATCTCAGTACGCCAGAGAGCTGGCCGTAAACTCGGTGGGCGGTCAAAGCTTGGATATCGAAATCGACCACGATATATTCAAGGACGTAATCGATGCCGGACTGGTCACCAACATATCCGTTTTCGTCAGTCCCGCGGAGATGTACGACCATCTAAGTTGGAAAGCCACCGACTTCTCGAGAGCGGTAATCGAGGACCGGATGAAACGCAAGCAGATCAGAGCCGTCTATAGAGTATCACCGCACGGATGGAATCTGCAGAACTCCGTGGATAAGCGACGTCCCGATTATAATCGGTTCCCTTGCTTCCAAGGAGGTGATAGGAGAAAGGTCGTATGCTCCATCGGCGTCGATGAAAAATGCGAAAAGCTAATGTTCGTCCAGTTCTGCAACGCCCCTCTCATAGAAAACATGAATTATACGATATTCGTCAGAGCACACCTCAAGAAAAGTAATTATCTCCCCCCACACGACGATAGCAAACCACTCCCGGTGAGCCTTCATTCAGTTCTGGACAAGTTCAGCAATCAATTCAACATCGGTCGTAACTCTCACATCGATCACATGCGGCCGTACAACGGGTGGAATGAGCAACCCAATCGGCACGATAACAATCGACACGTGGATCCACCCGGGGTACATCGCTTCGACCCGCGCTTCGATCCGACCACAGGAAGTATTGATCCGAGTAGATTCGATCCGAATTCCGGACGATTCGGTAACAATCGTCAGGATAACAGAAGGGTCGATCATGGCATCACGCAAATCGGTCCGATGAATTCGTACATACCGATGAACATCCCCGAACAACCCTGAGCCTCTGCGAGCTCTGCGTTCACGTACCTTAGAGCTAAGATGGAGTGGTCCGGAATTTTCTGCGTCAGTCGCTTTATTCGGATCGCCTCGAGTCCAGCCCGGCTCTACATTCGAATCTGAAGACGTTCCAATAAATCTGAGCAACATCGAAAATTCGGTGATTCTTTCCTTCTATGGTCGTTATAATCGCTTTATTCAAGTAGTGTCATGAGCTCTTCAATTTTCAGTCTCACCGACTCATGCAGGGATATCTGTATGGTAAGCTTATTTAGGATTAGGTAATAATAACAGCGTCTACCAGGGGGTGGTGAATAATAATAACCGGACGAAACTGTGAATTACATATGCGTATTTACAACATCACAAAGTTTCACTGCGAAACGACAGGCGCCACCTCAGGTTGGCTCGAAATCACGGCTGAAGGAGCTTTTTCTTGGAGTTTCCGCCGGTACAGGAACGCCAGACTCTTGGCAGCTTGGTAGATCGTGGCACATCGCGGCAGCCCGGTATGTTTCTCGTGCCAGTCCTCGCGCTCGCAATTCAAAGCGGCTGCGGCGACTTCTCCGACTGTTTTGGCGAATCCGCACCAGCTGGAAAAAGCACGGGAAGGCGAATGTCATTGATCTGAGTTTCGCTCGCGCGTTCCGAATTCGAATCTCGCTTACTCACGATACTTCAGGTCTTTCGGACGGGAACTCGATAACTCACCTCAAAGGATAGTCGGGAGGAGTTCCGTCTTTAATCTGATTGATCCACTGTTCGTCCAGAGGCGTTGCTTGAGTGTAGATCGAGATGCTAATATCGTTTGGTTTATCGACTAGTAGAACACACGACATTTCAAACCAGCGATCGGTGCTGAGCTCCGCGAGGAAACCCTCCACCGCGATAACAGGACTCAGAGGGTCGACATCGCCGGTGTTGTGTAGACAAGCCACTCGGTCTTCAGCTGCCTTCAAACCCGCCGTGAATCCGACCGGTTGTGCTGCCATTGACGATGGTTGAGCTTTCACGCCTACCGATGAGTTCAAACCATGTTAAAATATATGCAGAACGCATACGCGATCGGAGCTTCGAACGAATGCATCAAAACCAACCTTCCACGGTAGCTCTGCCGAAAACATCCCAAAAAGCGTCCTGGATCGGCATGACTTTGTCTTTTTTGTCGGACGCCACTGTAATACTGAGATCTCCTCCCGAGAAGATGATGGGCTTCATTTGAGGGTCTAGTGTTGTGATCACTTTATCGACAGATTCTTTAGCCTTCTCGGTGACTTTCGACAGAAACGAGGCTCCCCATTGTAGACCGGACCAAACCATCTCGGCATTCAGTTGAGTTGTCGCAGAATCGCTGTAAAAGCCACGATCCTAAATTGAGAGTTCCTTGTGGAAAATACGCTGCCCTATCGGCATAGTGCCATCATCCGACTGTTGGTCGGGTCGATGGTGTTCGGAAGCGGTATACGCCTCGATAGTTCACAGATGCGGCGAGCGAGCAGAAGGCACGCTCAGCGAACGATATGGGCTCAGAATCGAGGGGGCTTCTAACGCTCTATGAGAAAACGCCTGATTCTCCCGGACAGAGCAAGAGAGCCACTCAACAAAAACAACCTAAGGCCTATTCAACTCCTTACCCTTGTGCATCATCACCGATCCGTACGTTGGCAACATTCCGTTCGATTGTCTCGGACGGTTGGGATATCCCCGAAGCCATCGTGGAATCTGCAACAAATTCGAAGACTAGTACAACTGATCACCTGTTGCGACATCACGGTCGCCTCCTCGATGGGGCCCCACTAGAAATGACAGCTCGAGCTGCCACGATGTTCGCTACGATAGCCCGTATGAAAAGCAACTCAGTACACGCACTCGAGTTCGTTTGGAAACTTCGAACAGCATCGTACACTAAAAGCATGTCTAAACTTCGGATTCCACCGCCAATGGTGCTGACGATTCAGTCAACCACTGCCTCGCACACAAAACAAACGGCGCCCTCAGAAGACCCAGAGTTCATTGATCCCGAGGGGAGAGGGTCTTGGACGACGGCGTGGAGGAGAATCCTGTTCTTCCATGCACCAATGAAGACATTCCGGAACGAGATCACCTGATATCAATCGCGGATCACTGCGGAAACAAGAGAAGAGAGCCACAAAATATTGATCGCCTAACTGTTACTTGGTACAGCAGATCAGCACGATTCGTTCCGGCAGCACAAGACAAGCTCAGGTCTGACCGAAGCACATAGCAGAGACGGCGCACGTCTTATACTTTCTCAGTGCCCGAGGAATTTCTCGCTGTAGAGTCAGCGGAAGTTCCGAGTTCTGCTGGCGAGCATCGGAGGCTGTCGGGGACTACGGCAGGCAACAAAAATAGCAGTAGCCCGTGGCAGGACATGAGAGAAAATGTTGATAGTTTCGATCGTCTGATTTTCTGAGTTCCGAAAGAGAGACAATTCACGCGGGAAGGGTACCTAGCATCGATTTGGGAGGAGCCCTGCTTCTGCGTCGTGGATCAGAGAGATAACTTATTTTTCTACTCTGTATACTGTTAAGGGTCAGGTGACTCACCTCTTCCGGGAGTAGCGACAACAGCTTCTGCTCTCACAGATTTGGGTGTGGCGAGGATTTTCTGCTCTCCTTTGCTCAGTCTTTCGGGTTTACTCTTAACAGACGTTTTAGCTTTCGCCTCAGGAGTCGACGGCGCTTCCGGAGTGTTCTCCTCATCCAAAAGTTCAAAACCAGTGGATCCTTCGTCAGTTTCAGACATCTGCAAGAGGGATTCCGAGGTCTATGATACATTGACTCCTGCTCGGCGATTCATGTTTCCGTACATGAAACACCACGGATACAAATAGGGGGACACGGTAGCGTGAGAGCTCTTCAGACGGATTAACAGGAGCCCCATCGAATGGATGGAGAAAGATTTTTTCATGATGAGCACTGATTTTTTTACTGACTGAAGTGCACGTCGGGTGAAATTTCGAAGGGCGCGAGCGTGGCGAGGACGCCAAGAGCAGCCGAGCTAGACGACGTCCGCGGACGGATCCGACGATCGAAGTCATCAAATGTTCGTGAATGCGGGTCACATCCGAGCAGATAGATCCACGAAATAAATACCTTTCTAGCTATTGGTGAAGTTCGCAAAAATTCGCTCCCATTGACCTTCCATGTTCGTAACCCCTTGTTCCGAGTGAAGGACGTTGAGGCCCGTCTCTGCGGACCCATATTCCCAACAAGCAGCCCGGAAACCCCGGTTCCGTCCTGTTGACAGAGACGGTACCATGGAGGAAGCGGTCAAGGAGCTCGCTAGAAACGCAGAATGATCTCATGGTCCCGCCGACCATATTGAACAATGCGCGCTCTGTCGGGCGACCAATCGGTGCCGTGGAGCGTAACAAAACGAAGGATTTCGCGGGCGTTCTCTCATCTTCTGAGCTTCGTCCCTTAAGTGAAAGCGCTCTGTGATTCTGTTAGAATATCAGACAGAGTCGGATTCATGCACAATGCAGCGGGCAAGCCCGAGTACGTGGTTTTCCCAAACTTCAGGTTGGCCAGTCGGTCGGCATCACTAGATTTCGCCGCCGATCCTTCAGAATATTTTTCTGTCTCCCGGCGAAGGTCACGTATTCTCACCTCGCGCAAATCTGTCTGGTTCTCGCGGATCCGCATGTTTTCCCCTTAGTTCTCGCTGCGATATGATGTTCGAGCAACAAACTTGGTCCCATGCAGATGACGAGGACGACATGCCGACTAAGTGCGCAGAAGTTCTGATTTGGGAAGCTGCTCTTAATCCCTGTCGCGAATTCTATTTTCCGATCTACCGAAAAGCGATGTCGGACCTTGGCGGCTAAAGTCTTCGATTTAAAGTCTCTTAAGAAGGTCTGCCATCCGAGTTCGCGAAATTCCCTCGCAGATGAGCGTCCACTTCCCGAGTGTATCAGCTCCAAGCGGCTCAAGTTCGATTCGTGCATCATCTGGATGCCTAGATCGAACTTCGGAGAGCAGCTTGCTCTCTACAAGGAAAACTCAACTGCGTACTTACATTCCACGAGGAAATCAACTGACAGTGCTCGGAACGTATGCGCTGATATCACTGCAGCGTTTTCAGGTCCTGATCGAGCGAGCCTGGCCAGGTGGAAATTGGCTTCGACGGCGAAGGTTGGCTAGCAGAACCGCAAACGATCGCAGAGCCAGGAGACAGTAAGCACAGAGCTCCTTTCCCTCCTCTACTCTCCTAACAGCTGGTCGGGCAGACGGATGTTTATATCCACTAGATGGGGAGCAGCCGATTGTTGACGCGCAAATTTTCGAGTCACGTCTGACTGGCGACAGCCACAACAGCTGACGAGTCCGTGCACGAAACCGGCAGACACTGCGAAAAACCTCCTCGCGGAAAAGTAGACTCTTTTAGGATCGAAATTGAGCGTGCCCCAGACCAACGGTCAATGAATTGGAGATCTCGCTTCCCTTCGAAATCAGAGTACGTTGCTAAGTTCTAGAAACAACAAACAGCGGTCCACTCACTCCGAGTACGGTGTCGGAATTCCCCTCTTGAAGTCCCTCTCGTCATCTGAGGATCGAACAATAGATGAGATGGTCAGTGACATTCAGCTTGCCGCGTGATGCTAACTTTCAGAGACCCGCATAACTCGTTCCGTAATTTCTCATGGGGAGATCATTCATGATCGGCGTGGCGTGCCTCGCGAGTCTAGCGGCATCGACTGGGGCTTCTACGGAAATTGAGGTGAGGACGGCATCGAATCTTCTCAACATGCCCCCTGGAAAACATTTTGTCCTACGATTCCGTCCCGCCATCAGGCTCACTCAATCAGCCATCCTTTCGCAGGAACTGCCACCAAGCGAGAGGAGCGTTTTTGAGCGAAACCTGGTCTCGGAGAATGTGGCATGGAAAGACATCGTGACCCACCAGAAAGCCTACAGCACGTTGCTGCAGCACAGCAGGAACTTCTCCGGGAATGTTTTGGCCTATGTGACTCCTGTGAGTTCACCTTGGAGTTGGAAATTCAAGCTTCTCGCTCGTCTTCGAATGCCACGAGCTCTGGAATACTCGACGCTCAGTGCAGACTCAGACTCATTTCCGAGCTTTATTCATGTCCTTTCTCATCCGTTCCCATTTTCAATCATCCCTCTATCGTGCCCTTTATTTCTTCTTTTTCAGTGGAATAACCACGGATACGATGTGGCGAAGATCTTCGGCTCGAAATTTACCCACGTTTCACCCGTTTGGCTACAACTGAAACTCGAGGGATCGTCTTTTGTGATATCGGGTCAGCATGATGTGGATCGGGGATGGATCAGAGAAGTCCGCGATACCGGAGCGAAGATGCGTGAGTTGAGTTCGCTCCAAATCAATAACAAGGAGTTAGTCCTGAATCTCGATTCCACAGAATGCGCATCGCAGAGTTTTAACAACTCGAGTCTTTCCTGTTCCAGTGCCTCGTGTACTGTTTGAGGGCTGGTCCCCGCAACAGATACTCGACGTTTCTTCGTCTGCCGGGAGAACCTCGTCGCTGGGGAAAGTTCTCACGAAACTCGCGCACGAAAATGATTTCGACGGCTACGTGTTCGAGTTGTGGTCTCAGTACAATTACAGCGGCAAACTCGCAAAGTGAGCTTTGTACTCGTACTGAGATAAACCTACATACCTTCGGTGTAGTAGTCAATGTCCAAGCGTGGGCGTCGCAGCAGCCTCTCGGAGTTTCGAATCACGGAAGGGTCGGTCTGTTTGCAGTGCCTTGATCAAAATCATACGGGGTCTCTACGAGCCGCTGCGTTCATCGGAACTAGCCTTGATATTGGTCATCCCCCCTCCGCTATACGACGATAATGTCCAGGGTATGTTCAGCAGAAGTCATTTCGAACAACTTCGAGATCACGTGACGGCCTTCTCGTTGATGACCTACGACTACTCGAGCCCGCAGAGGTGAGATCTTCCGGGACCACGTGATTGCCGTCCTCGACATGATATTATGAGCATAGTATACTTTATGTTAGCTCACAATCAACGCGGAATCATCCGGTATCCCGCAACTTGTTTCCACCTTGAATTATTTCTAAAGGCCCGGACCGAACTCGCCGATCCAATGGGTCCGGAAGTGTGTGGAAAGTCTGCAGCCCACCGAGAGCGAGTATCGAGCCAAGATCCTGATAGGATTGAACTTCTACGGATACGACTATACGGCTGTTGGAGGAGGCGCAATCGTCGGCAATCAATTCGTCGAAATGCTGCAGAAACACAAACCGAAAATCGCATGGAACGAGGAGTTCGCGGAGCATTACGTTCAGATTCGAGGGTGAGTCAGCGAAATCCCTCGAGGAGTGAGAGATGATCTAGTCAACAAATTCTATATGAGTCGCGGCTCTACTCTTTGCCAAGAAGCTGATTATTGGTGCGCAGAATTAGAGGGCTCGCCGGGAGGGATTCTCATGAGTTCTATCTCCTCGCGCTTTCTGTTTGCCGCTGGAAGCTTCTTATGAGTAAGCGCCGATTTTCCGCGCATCCCTCGGGACTGAACCTCCGATTTGCCGTGCCGCGCATGGCGTCGGATATTCGTAGTATATTCTGGGACCTGAACTGAAGATGTCCGTCGCAATCACGCGGACAATTACCCTAGTCGAATCTTAACCTTGTAGTCGTCTGCCCAGCCCTTCGTAGCCGGTGTGACCCGGCGACTACGGCTCTGGGAACTGAGCCATCGGGTCGATGATCACCCTCCCTCGCTCATCTTCTCTCAATAATCATTGTTCCAGGAACGAAGGACATCACGTCATGTTCTTCCCGACCTTGAAAGCTATCTCCATGCGGCTGGCCCTGGCGACAGAATTGGGTTGTGGAATCTCGATCTGGGAAGTGGGTCAGGGGATGGATTATTTCTACGATCTACTTTGAAATGAGAGCTCTTCCCTTTTAGGAGCTCCTATGGCGGCTCGCGACCGCACTCATTCTGACTATTACCTGAGAAAAACGAAAATAAAATTCATTCGGTAACACGCCGACAAACCCGACACATCGTGTCCGCTTCTAGACGTAACTCACGCTGCAATTGGTAACCCGGAGTACTAACCAAGATGGAGCACGTCACATTCGAGGACACTTTCGAGGAGCTACGCTCAGCGCCAGGCCACCAGCGTTCTCGACTCGGTGAGACCGACGAGCCGCGGAAGAATCGGGCAGAAGGGGGTCGCAAGACGCCGCGGGTATGCAGATTCCATGCGAAGTTTGTTGAGAAAGCCAGAAATTGTCCCATGCCGCGTTCTTTAGACGGAAAAAAGGCGCCAGTGCAGAGGAACGAGGAACGAGCATACCGGCCGTCTGTGCTCGCTCTCGCGGCCGGCTCTCAACCAAAGGGCGATCTTTTCTTCGTTCAGTGCAATCTCTCTGGCCGCCGTTTCCTGGTCGATCCAGGGGCTCAGGTCAGCATGGTTCCGCCGTCGCAGAGCGAGAGAGGCACTCCCACCGATCGTCATCTTCTTGTTGCAAACCACAGCAATATCAACACATACGTCATGAACGACCTTTCCCTGAACCTTGCAGGACGTTTCACACACGTCTGTGAATTGATCATCGCCGATGTCACCCATCCCATCCTGGGCTACGACTTTCTCAGGAGCGCCGGACTCCTCGTCGACCTCCGCGGACGGAGGTTACTCGACAACCACTCTTTGGTGTCCATACCATTGCAGCCCGCGCGGTTTCGGAGCGCAATCGGTAACCTTACGAGACCGGGCAACGAGTTCTAGACTCTCCTCTTGGAGTTCCCCACCGTTCTCACGCTGCCTTTCGACGCGAAGGTCAAGCATCGCGTTCAGCACCATGTCGTCACCAAAGGGCAACCAAGGTATGCCAGAGCTCGCCGCCTCGCACCGGATGTTCTGCGCGTCGTCAAAGAGGAGTTTCGGTCTCTTGAGAACTTGGGCATCATTCGGAAGTCGTGCAGCCCATGGGCCGGTCCTCTCCACGTCGTCCCGAAGGCGGACGGGACGAAGCGGCCGTGTGGTGACTTTCGTCGAGTAAACGACATGACTGATCCAGACCGTTACCCACTCCCGCATATCCACGACTTCGCCGGGATCTTACACGGGTGCAAAGTTTTCTCCAAGATAGATCTCGTCAAGAGCTACCATCAGATTCCGATGGCCCCAGAGGACATCCCCAAAACTGCCATCATCGCGCAGTTTGGTCTTTGAGAGCACACGCGCATGCTGTTCGGCCTTCGCAACAGCGCCCAGACTTTCCAGCGTCTCATGGACTCGGTCTCGGGTGACCTCCCGTGCCTCTTCGTCTATCTTGACGAAGTGCCTGTGGCTTCCAAGAACAGGAAGGAACATCTGCAGCACCTGCGAACCCTCCTTCAACGACCTGAGGTCCAGGGACTCGTGGTAAACGCGGAGAAGTATAAGTTCGGGCTCGCGTCTCTGGATTTTCTCGGGCATAAAGTAAAAAGGAAAGGAAAAGGAATCTCACCAAGACAGGCAACATGGTCGAGCTCCAGAGATTCTTTGCGAATGGTGCTGTCGGGGCCGTACACCGGCAGATGGTCGGCAGGGCATGGCAACCCTTGAGTTCCTTCAGCCGTATAAGCTGAGAGATCCGGAGACGTGCTACAGTACTTTCAATTGGGAGCTATTGGCCATGTATCTTGCGACCGCACTCATTCTGACTATCACTTAAAAACAACGAAGAATTGAATTCATCCGGTAACACGCCGACAAACCCGACACAACGTGACACGTGACCGCTTTTAAACGTAGCCCACGCTACACTCGTCACTAATTGTGAATATAGCGGAGCGAGTCCATGAAATTCATGCTTCTCAACCGAACCTTGAGCTCATTCCCCATCTGAGTTTCCAAGTGTCGACTGTCGACATTCGGAAACTCCGGCCGAAAATCGTCGGCGCATGAAGGCGAGCGCTCTCCTTGACTCCAAGAGTATAGACGAAACACTTCTCTCAATGAAAATCAACGAGCTCCGGAGATTTTATTTACTTTATATATAAATTCGATTTATTTACAATCATACTTCAGCACCACGCGGGAGGCTCGATCATGACATGAACAGGTTGCAGAAAGCCATCCCCAAGCAGGCGAGCGATACCCAAGGACTCAGCCGCTCTCCTACCCGAGCGAATTTCCAAAAAGTTCCTCGCAACCTGTTGAGGAGGAGGAAAATCATATATAAACAGTTCGCGGACCGATTGGACCGATAGCTCGACTGGAGATCTCGAATAATAATCGGCCCGAACAATCGAGCTCAAGTCGGCAAGAAAACAGACATCATACTCACCCTTGCTTATTTTTGTCCAGGAGAGACGGGTACAGCGATCTGACGTAGGCGCAGGTACAAATCACCAACAAGATGACAGTCAGAAGCGATTGGAAGTTGAAGATTGCAGACTGCGACGGCAAAGGTTCACATTACAAGGGATCCACGCGACACATACGCTTCGACGAGACAGCGCACTCGGTTCAACGGAAAAGTATTCCATTCACCAAGTGTTTTGTTCTAAGAACCTGTCGGAGACATTTAGCCCAAGTTGTGTACTGGCGCTTTCATGTCGACTCAGTTTCCTTAGTTATTCTAATGACTTTGATTCCGCTAGATCCGCTATCCTCGCCAGAGTCCATCGATCTCTTGCCGAGTACGGCCATTTTGGCCTTCTCGCCATTCGACAACAATAAAGCTGCAGTTTGTTTTCCGGGATTGCTAAGAATGATGCGGATCAAATCGCTCGTGTCTTCAATTGGTATCTGATGCCTATTTACATTCACGAGCCACCTAACGTAACTGCCAGCGGGAACCATGTCGATCGACACCTCACGAGGAACCATGATGGGTAATTTCCCTTTCGGCTCTATCGAGAATATTTGTGGGTTGTGCGTCATCCAGTGAAGATTTTCTTCGGTCAAGCCGGTTCTGTTCGCTACACTGCTCAGAGCTGCGCCACTGAGGCTTGCGAGCTTGTTTTGCATGTATTGTAATTGTTGGGCATAGAGTTTCCTGATTTCGTCGGTCTCGGGCTCTTCCAACAACATCTGCAAATGCCGAGCTTCCGCCACAATGAGCTCGAGTTTCTCGGCGTGTTGGCTGAAGCGTTCCTTCAGAGGTTTGGGTGGAGGTTTCTCGGCAACAACTTCGACTGCGTCGGAATTACTCTGCTTCCGGAAATCGTTGATTGTGTGAATATGCTCACAAATATGAGGCTGATCCTGCCAGCAAGAAGAACAGGTGAACTCATGGATACAGAGCGAGCAGCATTGACATCGGGAACCACAGCTGGGATCACAGGTTTTCCCGGTATTCGTCACGGTGAAAAGCTCCTCGTTACACTTCAAAACATACTCCTTGGCTTCCGCCGTTTCAAGGCTTTGTTGGCTGTCGGTGTCTTCCGGGGTGGCTTCAGTCTTGAGTTCGAGGTTCTCGATCTTATAAGGCGAAGTATACGAAATCAGGCTGGTGAGGATTTTTTGTCCCCAGCGATTCATGACCATGTGATCAAGAAAATGGAGCATGGTGGTGTGCTCCCGCTCGAATTCCTCGTGGATTTCCGCGCTCTCTTCTCCCATGTAGCAGGGAGCCCAGAGCATCGTCCGGTTCACGATCACGGTATCGAAATAGTCGATGAATATTTGAGGAATGTTATCGGTCGCGACGACTTCTTGTATTTGCGCCAAGTTCTTCGAGAAGGCTGCGATAGAGATCGGACACCGGAAGATGCCATCGAGCAGACACCCGATATTGTAAACTTTGCTCGGCTCCACCAAGTGTTGGAAGAGCGCTAGTTCCATCATGTTTTTCATGTGCCATAGATTCACTTGTTTCTTCGGAACTTTGTCCCCGCCGAAGGTATGGATGAACTGGACAAAGTACTCATCGTGATCGTCCGAAAAGAAGTAATTGCAATGAAATCTGCCTGTTTGTCCAACCACGGCATAATAGAACGTTTGTATGTAAACCTGGGGCTTGCTGGCGCTAGTTATGAACCAGGCGAGAGGGAAAACAAAATTCGTGTCATTCTTGCGCACGTAGCAATTCATGGTGACGATACTGAAACTGAAATGACAGACGGTGTCCATGCAGACGGCGATGATACTGTCCGAGTAATCGTTGAACGTCTCGAGCTGGTTGGGCGTCATGAGAACTCCGTAGAATTCCGAGGGATCCATTCCATCGGCCTCTGAATCGACGGGCTTGTGAACGAGGACCACATTGGGATTGCTGAGGAGCAGGAGCCCGACTGCTTCGAATAGATAACTGGCCACCACCTCGCTGAATTGTTTTCCGAAGCACTGCTCTATGTTCCGAACGTCAGAGGATGCGATGCGGGCTAACGGCGTCGTAGGATCGGCGAGTTGCTTGAGCATCTCTGCGACTCGGTGCGCGGGTTGACCTAAGTTTATGAAGCGTGCGATCCGACAACGGTGCATGGCCAACAGAGACATGAGCTGCTCGTCCGTCGCATGACCATAGTGCGAGACGCATCCGTCGACTTCGACCGATCCGTTCGGCTTCTCTACGGCTCGCAAATGCACCACGCATTGGATACCGAGCTTTACGGGACCGTGCGCGCGTTCTTTCCTCATACGTACGGATGTTGTTTTCCCTCGACATTTCCCACTGCGATGGCATACGAAGTGCATTCGAGTGCCGGTTTTGACGAACTGCTTCGTGCCGCAGGTGCGTACGAATCGAATTCCGGACGACTCTTGGAACTCCTCCATCCACGCGTAGAATCGAGGAGCGGTTGGCAATACGACCGAGATGTGTTCGAATTGGAGCCCATGATGATTTTCTAAATGACTACATAGTTCCGCTTTGGTATGGAATGACGCTTCACAATTAGGTTCCAGGCAGCTCTGGTCCTGCGAGGCCTTCTGTTTTATCCCGGTGTGGACTTTACGAACGTGTGTCCGTAAGCCATCCCGAGATTTGTACTCTCTACCGCATTCAGCGCAATGGAAAACATCGACGTTTTCGAGAACTGAGTCCGAGGCACACACTAGAAGGTGGTGCTCATTACTCTCGGCGAGCTCTAGACCTTCTAGTTGAACAGTCTCGTACTCCATATTTGCGGAGTCGCTCTTGTCCTCCTCCATGTGGCTCTGACACTCGAATCGTGCTGTCAGTGGGGCGCGTTGCGCTCGAGGAGCTCTTTCAAATATCAATGAAGTCGGGATTTAGCACGTAAACAGTTCGGCACTTAGCGACAATGGATAGAGATCGGCTCCGAGCCAAGGCGAACGTCGGGGAATCTTTCTGTAGACTCACGGAACACCATTTCACGAATTTATGCTCCCAACATTCTGGCCGAGGGCTCCAGCTGAATCTTTTCGCAACATCACCGAATGATGCTAACTCAGTCAGCTTGCGAGCAACGCCATCTTGAAAACACAGCTTCGGAGAGTACGGCGCGGCCATGACACACCACAGTGGAACAGCCGGGGTATCGGGTTCCTGGGGGTTCCGACAGATTTGACAGCGCAAATAATGGATGTTGCCAAGCTCGATGGTGTGCGAGCTTTCGAGACAGATATTATCCCGAGCTGACGGAGACAATCCGTCACTCTATCGAAAGCCCACTCATCATGAGCAGGGTCGACGACACTTTGTTCGAAACCGATTGGAATATCACGGCAGATCCGCGGGAACACTTCTATTTTCCGCTGAAAAAATGAAATCGGTCGAGCATCCCGGAAGGTACTCACCATTGTCGAGATGAGTCTCAGTCAGCGATTCGGAGTTTCAGGTGTTCCTCGGCTGACGTTTCCATTCAACTCTCCCGCACATCTGTCTGCCCGAGGGGTCGTCGAAGTATTCCGAAATCCTGATCTGAAAGTCTCGCCGGGGAGTTGATCCAAATGCCGAAAATTTCATCTCCTCGAATTGAACGAATGAAGGAAAGTCTCCCCGTTATGCGAGTCGGGAACGAGTTCGCGGAGGAGCCGTCTCCGCGTCTACAAGGAGAGAGCTTTCGAGATTATTCGGTGTCCTTACACGAATCAAAACAACGACATTTGTCAGGAGGAAAGCTTTGTTGCGGTGAAAGACACTTCTTCGGCTAGCGGGAAAAGTTCAGTGAGACCGAGAAAACTCCCGATCTCGGGGTCAGGATATCTTTCGCGTCCTCAAGAAGCCTTTGTGCAGTCCGAATGGCAGAGCTTCTTCTCCCAAAAGGTTGGCGGCGCGAAGAACAAGCTAGAAAGCTAGGATTGTCGGCCGGCAAAGTTGACGTCTCCTACTACGGGTAAGTTTTCACTCCTGGATATTGACAAGCTCTCTAGCCGCTCCCCTCGAAGGGCGCGATTGACGCCTCATAAGAATATTTCGAGATCTGCGGACTCCATTCCGTAGATTCGCACTTGAGACGGGACTTCAGGTCTCTTGAGACTCTCCGAGTCGGCGTTTTGGCGATCGGAGAGCTCTCGATGCCTCAGATCGATTTCGTATAATATGACGCTCTTTCTACAGACCCGACGGCCAACGCTACCGGAACAAACAACAACTTGTCAAAGCCCTCGGGAAATTCGTGGATCTGTCGGCCTTCGATTTTCGCACCGGCAAGATCAATCCCGCGCTTGTACGCAAGTCAAAACAGAACAAGCAGAAAGGTTATCCAATCTACGAGTACCTTCGGGGATTGAAACCCGAGGCATGTCTCGTCCCACCTATAAGACAGACGGCGTCTATTTTCAAGCAACCGGTAACTTTGATCAGTAACAGAAATGAATCCACAACGAAGCACGATACCAAACATGGAGTTCAAGAGAAGAAATCGAAACAGGTTCGTCCGCTCAGTGTTCCCGGCTGTAGAATCCGTGAGAGGAAAAGGCTCGGAATCGATTGAATTCCCCCGTTCAATGGTACCGCCAGAATACGACCTCATCTGTCATTCCATTTACAGCTCTTCTGGGAGCGACGTCTGCAGGGTCTGAGCGCGTGTGATCCGCACGCTCATACGGTTCAACCATTCGACCTTCCCCGCAATATTCGAGGAGTCTCCCAAGACTTGTCGCAGGACACCCTCCTACGCAGTGTGGCGACATACCTGCACATCACTCAAGGGCCCATCGTTGGTCAACTCAACGTCAAAGGTCAACAGGACAAACATCCAGCGGTCTACCTAAACCCAGACCAGCCCCTAGTCCAGGTGAGCCGAACTTCTCGAATACGTTTAGAGAGAGGAAATCGCGTCTGGCTGACCCTCATGTGGTCTCTCGACCAATTGCAGGAAATGATGGGACATTCGATTTTTCAGACCCTCATTGTGACGGACGATGACATTCGGAGACAAGAGGAGCAAGTGGTTCTCGCTCGGAAGCAGCTTGAGAATGCATACAAGGAACTGCGAGAAATCTAGACGAAGTCATTATCATCATTTCTATGAGAATCTCTGGAAGTGTATTTATGTGGAGACGAGTGGAGCGCGCCTGAGAACGGGGCGAGGGGCGCATACCCCCGATAGCTTCCGACTGCTGTACAGTTTTGGAATTTCCGGAGGAGCGTTTCACCATTGTCCACCCTCGACTCTCCCGCGATACTCAAACTGATGCCGCCGAGAGCGAGTACTTTATGAGCCTCGGGGCCTAATCCCCTATTCCGTATTCACACCAACACGCGGGTAGCCGGTCTGTCCTCGCAGCGAGCCTCCGACTCCCAGAGTTCTAAGGCAGGGGTGTCAGACTCAAAGTTTTCCGGGCTACATCTCAGCCCCGGTGGAGCCCACAGGCCGATTAGGCTTTTCGTCGCATATCCGAGAATACATGCCCTCCGGAGCGAGGAAAGGAGGAGAAAGGGGATAATCTCTCGAAAATACATGATTCCCTATTGCCGAAGTCGAAGTCACCCAAATCACTGAACCTCCCCCCCTGAACGGAGGGCATGCTTCTCTCACTCGTGTGAAGCATGCTCGCCTATTTTCCGAGTTCTTCGTCGGATCCTCGGGCAACCGGCGAAGAGGATGATCCACCTACTCACGCGGAGCTCACGTTTTGCCAAAGTATCCATTCGAAGTCTAATTCATGCTGAGTATTGTACATGGATAGGGATCGCTCAATGGCTCAGAAAACTTAGGTGTACCCGTAGGCTGCCCGTTTATTGAGCATGTCCGTCTACCTATGAGAATTTCCAAAACACGACCGTGCTCGACAATCCGAGTTTGACAGTTGGTGTTGGAATGGGTACGGTATCCTGTGGGGACTCGGAAAGCCTTGGATAGAGCCCGTGTGTTCGACGTACCCATCCGTCGTTTATGCGGACGCTAAGATGGGGAAATCCCGGCTCCATTCGTCGGTCTGTCAGACTACTCATGCTGATAGAGGGGGCGGGGGAATGGTGAGCGCTCGAAGGGAGAATATGCGGCTCTCATGGGACCTATCAGGAAAGACCTCGAGGTTTCTGATTGAAATCTTCTGTATATTGAACGACCCGAAAAGAGCAATAAACGAATAACTGGATTTGAGACACGACCAATGTGAACGGGAAAAATTGCCTCCGAATGCGATAAGCATGAGCCGTCGAGGAGCGATTGAAATTATCTAGGCTTTATTGGTTCTAGGCGAAACGCCTTGAATCGATTGCTCGTAACAATGTACATACACTCGCAGAGTTTCTTTTCTCAACTTTCGGAAATCAAAAAACACTGCATCACTTCTGCTTTTCTCTGATCTGGAAAGCGCGCATGACCACTGGCGACTTGAAGTCATGTTGACAATTGTTGTAGCCCATGCCTGAAACGAAGGGTTTTTCAGTCAGCTCCACATGAACACGGCTCGTTCCTCTTGTCTTTTCCGTCGACAGAAAAATCGTGATCTCACCAAAACCAGCCCCAGTTCCGAATATCATGGGCCAAGATTTTCTCTTGAACAGGAGGAGAGAGGCTACGATACCCAGACCGAGGCCCGACACTGTTTTGATGCCGGTGTCCGTAATGCAGCGGTCCCACTTTTCCCCGACGATGTTTTCGGAGTTCGTCATTTCGGTATCGGAACGAGTTCAGCAGGATATCGGGCTGAAGAGAAAAATTATAAGCTCAATTCACACACAGCTCTGCATCAATATCATCTGCATCGAGCCGGTCGTCCCAATCTGATACATATTATGTGATGTTAAGACTAATGACAATGCTCTCACGCCCGTCAGAGCCGTCTGATCGTCAAGTTGGCGAATTCCGCGCTCTGATCGCTGTCTAGGAATTCCACAGGATATCGCCGCTCTCGGACATCGAATGTCGGCGGTCAGAACTCGAAATTCTACCCCTCCGGAAAGGGCAGGATATGCCACGGACGCTCGGTTTAGAGTATCAATCCCCCGCGGAATTTACATGTTCAGATCACCGCGAATAAAGAGCGCTAATCGCTAGAAAGCAGTTGCCACCGAAACTCACATGAAGGGTGACCGGACTAGACCACGGGACGCTCGCTTCGACGTCGAGCTCCTCCGTCTTATTCGTCGGGCTGCGACTGGAAGAGCCGGGACGAAAATTTTCGTGCCGCTTTGGAGGAGGAAACCGGCGAATCGCATTTCTTGCGTCGCATTGCCCGCAGTGAACATCATGTGAGAGTGAGACAAGCAAATGGGAACATGTTCGCTTCCATCATTCGAGACCGTCCCTCTCTAAAGGCCTGTATCACGCCTCCGACGAAGACCGACGCAGAGAGTCAAGACGCAGAGATCAGCATCATCATTCCCTTCCATTGTGTTCTCGCGCTCTCTCTCCAAAGTCTCCGAGCAAATTATAGCGTCGTCTGTTACGGAACTGAGAATAACAAACGCTCGCAGCGAGTCCCCGCTATCTTGTGATTTGTTCCCTTGAGAGAACGAATTGCATTCATTTCCCATCGTTCCCTGCGCAGAACCCATTAGAAGTGAGGGCGCGAACGAGACGGTCCTGAAATTCTCGAAATTCTCCGTGCTGGTGGGAACAAGCTCAACGCGTCGGTGTCGTGTGTGTCGACAGCAGCTACATCGGAAATCGTTCAAGATACCCGAGTGTCTCATCTTTGCTGCGGCTGCTGCTGCTGTTGTTGTTGTTTCGTCACCGCCGGCGCCGAGTCCACTAAAACGACACCGACATTATAATCGTCGCTCTGATTTCGTGAAAAATGCGATAATTGCACTCAATCGGTGAGTAGACATTGGCTCGACATTTCGGCGTTACGCTAATCTATGAATATCAAGCCTTTCCTCGGGTGAACCCATCTGAGCTGAAGTTCATACCTCATCGGGAATCGACGGGAGGTCGGCTAGTTGTGATCTCCTTCGATACTAGATCATTTGATCCATGTATCTGTCCTTGGGTAGTGAACCCTAGAGCGGATCCTATCCACTTGAATCATGAGGAAGATTGGAAGCTCAAAAATTATCGGAGCCGTTCGGCTCTAACCTTCCCGATAATGGCTGCGATGAGCAGCATCTCCATGTCGTTCGATTGGATTTGCATGCCCGAGAGCTATATGCGAAGCGTCTTCGGAAACATTGTTTCTGTTCCTACCTGGAGCTTCTCCTCAAACTCCTGTTCGCTTCTCCTGTTTGTGATGATCGATCGGTGTCTCAAAGTTCTCGCTAGCTAAGCGAGACAGCGCGACCGTTCCTGATTGTCTCGATCGATTATTATCTCCGTCGTGAATTGAGGGCTGTGCATACAAAAACTTCCTGCCTTCCATGATGTTTCTAATATCGTTCCGGGGAAGATGCTTGGTTTCATATTGCGATGATGATACGCAGGGTCCCCACCTCATTCATCTGGGTTCTTAGAGGCCTGCGAATCAGAACGGAACTATAACAACAACTCGTTTTCAGGTAATTGATCGCTGAGTCGATCGCCGTGCTCGGCGTGAGCATGTCGGTCCACTACAAATTCAAGTCCTCGAAGGACTTCGATACGGTAACGTTCGATGGACTCCACATCTCCATCGGGGAGCTGAAGAAAAACATAATCCAGCAGAAGAAGATCGGGAAGGGGGCCGACTATGAGCTACAGATTACCAATGCTCAAACGAAGGAGGTGTACGAAAGTGATGAGGTTCTCGTGCCAAAGAACACATCGGTGCTCGTCTCCCGGATTCCGATAGTGGGCGCAAACAAGAAGAATTGGTGAGTACAGATCTCCAGACTGCGATTCCTTCCGTCGTTGCAATATGACGAATTTCGTGGTTACCGAAGATATGCCCTAACTGGAGCCCCTTTGAATTTTGCAGGCATCGCGAAACATCGGACGCGGACGCGCTTTTGGACGCCGAGGTTGCTGCTAGTAGCGTACGTATTCTGAAGGAAACTTGGAAATGGACGAACTTCCTTGATGAGAGTGGAATCGGTCTGGATGATGATGGAGAAGCACTTTCTGTTCTTCTTTGTCTCGTTCGATGTGTCACATCATCACCTAGAATAAGTAGTCACCCGAATCCAATGCTTTTGACGCCACCGGCAGTATGGGACTCAACTGGTTGAGCCTCGACCGACTCGAGTTGGGCTTCTGTGACTCAGAGTATGTTGACTCGGTAGATTTGACATCAGCTGTCGTCTGGAAATGTTCCTCCCGCTCCTGGGAACTTTGCGCTCGTACTGACACGGATCGAATCGGATCTTCCGAGACCGATATCGGGCTTAGTTATGATCGCAACTGTGGGCAAATAACTGCTTGCAGAAGAGTTCCCACTGAAAAGCACCGAAACTGCGCAACAGAGACTCGACTCGCTCACCATGTCGAGATCGATTGTACTGAGACGAGTTGACGGCAAGCGATGAAGCAAACTGACGGCATCTGCCGTGAGAACATCGACGGATTTGCTTCAAAACTCCTTGTACTCGACTGAATAATTTCCATCGAGCTCTCTGACTCGGAGGGTGTATGACTCCGAGGCTGGAAGTATGAGGCTATCCATCGGGCTGCGGATCCGCCGATCAATCCGTATCCAACTCCGAATACAATGAAAGATTGCGCTTCTCGAATTTGTCCATCCGAATAAGTCTGCTTGAATCACAGGCGAAACTAGAGAGCAAGCGATATTTCGATGATAGCTTCTTCCTTAAAAGAATATTGATAACAATAAATTGGAGGCAACTATTCCTGACGAGTTTTGTATCGTCGAGATCAGACAATGTGTTTTAGATCCGGAGACGTCCATTTCTCGAGGGTTGACCGGACTACGTATCGATGTATATTCCTAACGAATGCCGAAGTATGTATCGAATAATGTCTTATCGAATTGAAGCTTAACTTACGACATTATAGGGCGGCACTTGGCGCTCGACGCTCCTACTTAACGAGATTCTATTCCAGAGTTTCACTTCCAGACACTTCCCCTGCGTGAACTTTCGTTTCCGAACACAACATATCGATTTCTTTTTGATTTCAAGCCATGATTCTCTGATTTTTTGTGCGATATATGGGTGGGAACAAAGCACGGGCGGGCACTGTTCCTAAAGCGGGACAGTGGGGCTACTACATACTTCATTTTTTATACATTGTAGGCCGATTCCCATGGCGCAGCGGATAATCTCAAGGTTTGTTTGATTCAGTTCGTCATCGCTCGCCTTCTTCCTTCTATTTGGTTTCTTCTCGTTCCCCCAGCTTGAGCAGAACCGCGACGGCCGTTCCAAATGGGTGCGCTGGCTCTCATGGTCTATTCTTGATATAACATCACGTCTATGTGCCTCCTCATTATCAGGTCGCGGATATCGCTGCATCTTCTGCGTCGGAGGAAGACAAGATCAAGGCTATGATATCGCAGTCGTCAACGGAATTCGACTCGTCCAAGTTTGTCAAGAAACCCTTCGTTGGTCCACCACCTGCTTCATACGTTTGCTACAAATGCTTCAAACCTGGCCACTGGATTCACAAGTGTCCGCATCCGGTAAGTGAGATCAGCGATCGACTCGCTTTCGAGATCATCAAACGGCGTGGATTCGAGTCTGAACGTTGTTTCAGCCCGCGGAAAAATCTGCCATGCGTATTGAAGTCAAACGGAGCACGGGGATCCCGAGGAGCTTCATGAAAACTGTGGACGATCCGACTCACAAGGGTGTGATGTTCTCCACGAATGGAGAGCTTGTGATTCCAGTCCTCGATGCGTAAGTACCCTGTCAGATCTCGCATATTCACGTCGCGAGCTCAGAGCCCTCAGCAGATCTCTTACGTTGCTCCTGTCGCTCACGTTGCAGACAAGCCTATAAAGAGAAGAAAATCGAGAAGCCACCATTCGTACCTGATCTTGACGCAAAACCAATCGTCGAGGAAAAAGCCCCTATACCAGAGGACCTACAATGTTGGATCTGCAAGGACTTACTCACAGATGCGGTTCTGATACCTTGTTGTGGAACTTGCTTCTGTGACGAGTGTATTCGCTTCGCGCTCCTGGAATCAGATCACCACGAGTGTCCGGTGTGTCACGAGCTAGATCAGACTCCGGATAAGTTAATTCCCAATCGCTTCCTGAGGAGCAAAGTCAGCCGCTTGAGAGGGAATCTGCAGAAGAAGAAAGAGGACTCTTTCCCTGCCGCGGCACCTACCGCTGCCGCTGGCTCTGAGGATACGAAACCAATTCTGAAAGAGGAATCATCTCAGTCGAACGATGCGGTTGTCGAAATCAAGCGAGAAGTCAAGACAGAGCCGCTCCCAAAACAGCCGGAGGTCGCCGCTGATCACGGCGATGACTTGGCTTCGTCGCTCAGCCCCGACGATAAGTGAGTTCCTCCTCTGATTTTTTCCAGTCTAAGGAGATCATTAGAAAGGAGCTCATTACGTCAAATGTTTCTGGCACGTTGTCCTTACCTTTTCGTTCGTCCGCAAAGGTCTCAGAAAGCAACGTCACCTGAGCATCATGACAAGGAAAACGCCGATAAGTTCCGCGATAAAGAGAAAGTGGAAGTTCTCTCAGGAGAGAGAGATTTTCGCGAGAGGGACGACCGATGGCCTCCGCGTTGGAGACCAGGAGATCCTAGGGATTCGAGAGAGCCTCGACCGTTTGACAGGGACAGGAGGCGATATGTGAGTACAGACTCGATATGGAGATAGAAGAGGAAGCTTTTCGTCGAGCGGATCCTAAGAAACTGGTCGAAGACTAAAGCTCGAGTTATACACCTTCATAATACATAGGCGATACTCATCGGCGGATTTAATTCGTATCCACAGAATTCCGACTACCCTCCCCAGGATCGTTCCCCACCTCGGTATCGTAGAACCTACAGGGAGTTTTCACCTCCGCGGAGGGGCATGCCGAGACCTCCCGATATACCAGGCACAGAGAACGGTCCGTATCAACCACTCAATCCACCACCGATGCCTTTCCCTCAATTCGCGATGCCCCCGTCGGGCTACCCTCCCCAACCGCCCAGTCAACAGCCCCCACCACCAGGTATATTCATTTGATACGATTCGTCCGAGGCCAAGGCCCGAGCTCGACTCCCTTATCTTATCGTGTTTTCCGCGGGCTCCAGGTCTAGGTGCGCCGATACTACCGACATTCCCCGTCGGCTTCCCACCCATGGGAATGATGCATGGTATGCCGATGCCGATACCGTCGAAGCAGGCTCAACGTGAAGCTCTTGAAGAATTCGAAAAGAAATTGAGTGAAATGCGGCATGGCCGAAGAAGAAGATCTCCTTCTCCGATGCGTCGTAGGAGATATTCGCGGAGTAGGAGTCGCTCGTTCTCGCCCCGGGGCGCGCCACCGAGACGGAGGAGCCGATCGAACTCACGCGGTAGAATGCGAGGATCGCCTACACGACGAAGGTCTAAGAGTCGCTCGCCGTACGGAAGATATGCGAGGACTCCATCCAGGGAAAGAGAACGCGGAGACAGGTTCCGAGGTGGAGGATCGCCCGAGTACACCAGACCGCTCCAATTGAACTCGCGAAGGTATTAATCGGCACCATGCCCTTTCGGTGTTTCTTGTGGATATTTATTGCCCGAGTCTTCAATCCTTCATCGGCAAACGTCTTGCCACCGTTGCTCCTGTCGCTCTCGTCGTCGTCGCCGCTGTAGTCGTCGCTGTCGTTGATGTCGTCTCGAGGAGTTTCCCTTCTTTTGCATGGACTCTCCATGTGACGAGTTCCTCTTGGAAATCTGTAAATGGCGCTCACATGGTGGCCGGATTATGGTGTTAATATTTTTGCCGCCATCAGGAAAACTGTACCTCACTCGACGAAGAGGGCAAATTGCAAGAGCGGGATGCGATACAAAGATCTAAGTTTTGAGCCAAACACATTCGGAAGTTATCTTCGGTTGTAAGTGTGTTTCTCGATTTGTGACCACCACTCGGCCGACACTCAAGCGACACTGCAGCTTCAGACTCCGGGTGCCTCATGCCGTTCCGGACGCTTCGCTCGACCTTGCTTAGGGATGCAAAATTTGCTTTTCAGGTTCTCCCCTGGCAGATCCCCTCCGAGAAGAAGGTCCACAGAAAGAAATTTTGACTCCCCCTCGAAGAGGTCAGCACCCTCCTGCTTCGCTTGCACCTCGCATATTCAAAACCCCTCCCAAGAATTGGCTGATAATAATCGATTGTTTCGCTCTTCAGGTACAGGGAGAGATCCCGTGATAGGTCGATCAGTCCACGCGGGGTCAGACGTCGCTCGAAATCCATAGGACGCCAGCGACAGAAGTCAGGAACGCCTGTCTCGTTGGAAGCGAAGCGGACGACGTCCTCCACAAAAAGTTCGTATCTCATGTCTCTGATCTCGAGCCGGATTCTGACTCAAGACACGTGCTGCCGTCGTTCAGTTCTCGATTCACTCTCCGGTGTGTCCGGCGACAGATGCCGCATGCTCCCCAGCCACTGATCGTTCGAATCGTTTTCCACAGGGAAATCTTCGCCTATCGAAGCGTCACCTACCGATAAGAAGAAGAAGAAACGCAAGACCAAGAGCGGTGAGGAAGACGTGGAGAAAGATCGGGACGGCGGTAAGAAAAAGAAGAAGAAGGAGAAACGCAAGAAGACCAAGGATGTACAGGAGGCGGATACCACCCAACCCGAAAAAGAAGACCGAGAAGGAAGTGTTCCTGTTGTGGCCAAGATCGAAGACTCAATAGAAGAAGGAAAGCTTCAAGACGAAACCGAAGAGAGCACACTACCGAACAGTCCGGACGAGGGCGCCAACAGCGTCCGTGGAAAATCTGCGGACCGTAGTCCGCTGCTTGAGCACGATAATTCAGCATCGCATTCCAAAGGCTCACCAGACCAAGAGAGAACTCAGAAGATCCCTTCACCTGAACGACCCGCTGTCGAGAAATCGAAGTGGGAACGTTCGAGCTCAAGCGAGAGAGAGTCTAGTCCAGTCGCTCCGTTGGCCGCGCCGAAAACGGAGCTCAAATCCCGCATCACGTCGGAAGTCATCCAGAAAGCCGAGACGGCAATCGCGTCGAAGCCCCCGCGTATTCAACCGCCGCCGTCGAGTAGCGGTGTATCGAGCAAGATCATTTCGTTGAAACCCATAAAGAGTCGTCTCGGCGAACAGTTGAAGGAGAAAGACGTTTTCCAACATCATCACTCTCATCAGCAGCAGAGTGAACAACATCAGCGGGAGTCGCATCATCATCATCATCATCACCACGCGTCGCAACAGCATGAGCAACAAAAGTCGCATCATGAAAAAGAAAAGGATTCACAGAGCACACCCAAAAGAGACAACAGTATACAGATTACGATCCATAACGACAAACCGAAGCGAAAACCGATACGGCCGCCATCGCCGTCGCCTACGAGAGACGGCAAGAAACTCGATCGGAAGAAAAGCGTCGAGAAAGAAGATCGACGTGGCGCTGAACGAGACAAGCAGCACCGGGCCAGTCCCGAGAGGGAGAGTAGTCGCGTGAGGAAAGATCAGGGTAGTCGAGACGATGGGAGACGACGAGAAGAGCCAAGTCGAAGCGATCGTCGGAAATCCCCCGCTAGGGAGAAGGAACGTGGCGTTGTCACGCAGACGACTTCGTCGAGACCTCGGAGCAGGTCACGTGAAAGAGATCGACGCGAGAGGAGCCGTTCTTTCGAGCGTCGGGAGCGTGACAGACTGAGGGAGCGTGAGAAACAGCTGAGAAGAGAGCGAAGGAGACGTGAAGAGCTCGAGAGGGAGCTCGAACAGAAGAGAAAGTGAGTAGACTCCTTCGATTTAGCGATTTCAGTCCAAATTGGCCGTTGGAGGCCTAGAAGGATCCGTGTGATAGTGTTCGGCAGCGTTTGAGCCCTTCGATGTTTCGTTCCAGACTAGAGGAAGAAATCGAACGGGAGCGACGTAAGCGGGAGCAGCTCGAGAGGGAACTTCAATTGAGTCGTCGAGAGAAAACACGAGATTCTCGAGACGTGTCGCGGACCTCTGACAGCAGGGATAAGAAACGAAGGAATCGCAGTCCTTCTCCTCCCCACAGTGACCGGGAGCGCTCATCGAAACGATCCCGAACCCCGCGGAAAGAGATCGAAGAGAGAAGACCAGCGCATAACTCCCAAGGTCAGAAGGCTTTCCTAAGTGCCTCGCTGGTGATTGAATATTGTATATTCAGTATATCAGAGTTACGGATACTAAGCATGAGTACTGACGAGCTTCAATTTTCTTTTCTCACCACAGGTGACACTTCACAAAACAAGAAGACTGTCGATGACGAGACACAGAGCGCGCCGCCGGTCAAAAGCGCTCCTGCGCTCGCCGGCCACGATCTGGATCTCTCATTTGAGCCGGATTACGACCTGGATGTGGAGCCAGACAAGAAATGCTCACCGGTCACCCCAGAAATTTCGGAGATGTCGGCCACGAAGAAGAACGAGCGGGACGACAGTTCTGATTCGAGCTCGTCCTCATCCGATGATGATTCCGACGGTGACGGGGATCGCACCAGACGGAAGAAACATCGCAAGCACAAGAAGAACAAACACAAGAAGGCGAAAAAAAGCAAGAAAGTTAAGAGTTGAGAAGATGACCGACGGACAAACCAGCGTCCCAACAGATGCACTCTTGAGCTCCATGATCCCCCCCCCAAGCAGAAGCTTGTTGTGTAAATAGCGACCTCAATACAGCTCGGAAAACCTGACTGATGTATTAGATACGCTTTTGTTGTTTTTCTCATGATGCCCATGATTCGAACGAGCGGATGGATTTACATCTCTCTAAAATAGTCGATTTTGGCTATAATCATCCTCCCAATGGCATCGAGAATTCGTCAAACTCGTGGAAGACTAGAAAGATATGTAATCGCTTTTCATTAATAAACATCCAATGATTCGTCTTCAAACTCTCGTTTTCGCTGCCAATCAGCCCCCGTCGAGCCAATTCCTGCTCTTACCCAGGACTCTAGGTAGGATCTGGAACTGGCATAGAGATCCATGAGATTACTCGTTAGTCGTGGGGAGACTTCCTTAACTTCGGACATTTGATATCTATCGTGTTCGCAGAAGCGAAGACCGACAACCACATGTACGAGTGAATGAACTCTGATGAACTTTGCCGCCGTCGTAGGGCGACGCACGGGCTAAAATGAAGATAGTGAAATCAAATCGATCCTCATCTCAATTCGATTCCTTATTGTGCTGCGCAGTATGAGCGCACGAGGCACTAGTGAAAAAACTTGCGCGTCGTCGGAGGCGGAATTAATCAATCTTTCAACTACACTTTATTCACCAGTCATAATGGGTCAAGACCGGGACAGCATGATGAAACTAGCATTTCTGTACGATGGATTTGATGAAATGACTGAGCGTCGCTACGTCGGTCAGCACATGACGCTCCTCAACACTTGAGCATGCGGCTTCCGGAGCGCCTGACCCGATGTTCCCGTACGAGATTATTCCGACCTACGGAGCGAGACGAGTATTCGGCTTACGACACGCTGTCCACGGCACGATCGGTAGCGCATACCATATCACTCGCTTACCTGATAGAAAACACCGTTCACGATTCGCATCGCGGGACCCCCGTAGTCTCCCTGTAAGAGCACAGAGGATGTTCGAAGGTCGAAGCTGAGTCGAATGATGTATGCCTGTCCCCACGATAGTCTCACGGAACTCTAGCTCACCTTACAGATGCCTGCAAATATTTTCGAAATGCATATCTTGCTTGAAGAATTCCCGCCCAACAATTCTTCGCACTTAGAGTCCGACGGTCCGAGTATCCTGCCCATGCTACGTTTTAATCTGGGCAACCTCTCTGCAAAACGCGAGCCACTCTGATTCAAAGAACATTGGGGGCGGGGGAAATCCAATGGACGAGATCGTCTTTTCCATGGAGTCGAATGGATGCCAGGAACGAATCAAACGTACCATCGTATCGGTAACCTGCTAGAACGACTGCCGACCCACGCGGGGAAGGCAGTTGTTCCGAGATGCAAATCGGTCGAACCTTGGGGTCGATGACGAGGTCTTCCGGCAAAGTTAGTATCCAAGCATCTCTGAATGTTTTGCCGTCATCGTTCTCACCCTTGTCGAAGCCGGGAGCGCTGCGGATTGATTATGAAAGGAAATCCACATATTTGAAGAGGCAGCGTATCTCTGCTCCAAACAAATTCGACCTCGCGCCGCAATCGATATACACACGATCACAGTGAATTCAGCGACTCGGCGACCCACCGATGGCCAGATTTGACTGGTGACCGATAACCATCTCGATACAGAACCAGTATATCGCGAATCCTGGGGATTGATGAACAATGAACGAGCTGAGTTATCCCCGTCTGACTGAGCCGCTAGTTTCGCACTTGATTCGGCATTCCATCTATCAGTACATTCACACGCGGCAATCGATGCAAAGCCGATATCATTCAAATCCGCATGATTGCAAAAGCGGGGGATCGGGTTAGACCTACGGCCTCTTGCAAAATCCTGCGGTCAGCACATGACGCTTGGAGATGAGAGTTCCCAAGCAGTAACGTTTATCTTTGTACATGAGGAAAACAATCCAGGGGAACTCGGTCTCTTCGGACGGAAGACCACAATCTGTGAATTTTGACATTCGTAGAGGACACGTGTTTCCCGAGAACAGCTCATGATCCAACAAACGAGGGCTACTTCCGTCGAGTACCTTCGATGTTGATCAATTTCTCCGGCTCCGGGGTATAACATCGACTCATTGAAATCACACCAATCAGGGAAACCAGGCTAAGGTACTCCATCCCTCCCAGGGATCTCTATCATCGAGAATATTGATTTCCAATCGGAACGTAGGGATCGAATTTTTCGAGCTCTCTCAGACGGAGCGTTTTCGGAGTCGTGGTCGTGACTGCTGCTTGATTCATTAAGTAAGAATGCTCCGAATCCGGCGTCACGATTTGCGAGGAAACTTGCGGTGCACGGGAAAATTTGGAATGGGAGCTGGAGAAGTCCAACTCCTCGCAAGGCACTTTCCTCTGCCGAACCCCCAGCGCCCTCCCCCGGAGACTTTTCGTCTTAGTTCGGGACGTAGAGTTCACCTCCCTAAGGTGAGCTACCGAGCCGGCCAGCCGGACGAAGGAGTTACTCAAAACTCTCGAGCCGATTCCGTGGCGTTCCAGGGACATGCATCGCGCACCGCTTGGCTTCCTTCCCGATGACTGACGACATCCGCATATCCCGCTCCTGGCGTTGTCAGGCTTTGTCAGGCAATTCCGCTGTCGACCCGAATTCGCCGCGATATCGTGGGAATCTGGGCGTGGAGCGGTCCGATTCGCCTCCGCCAATGAAGGCTGACGGGAAGGCTGCGTGGGGATTCCCCTTCGCTCTCGTCTGCAAGAGTCGGTGGTCCATGACACAATGATGACTTCTATCACATTGGTACGGGAACCTCATCAGCAGAAATTCTCACGGTGGTTTTTCAGCCTATTCTCCCAAGGTTGAAGCCTGGCGGAAACTTCTCCAAGTGATAGAAGTGGTAGGGTATCGCTACAAAATGACCCAGCTTCACAGTTTGTCAAGCTCAAGATGCATCGTGGAATCTTTATCAGAGTTCCGTGATATTGTTCGCGATTCGCGACACATGCCGCTTCACGAAGCAAAAAGGGAATAGTCGAAGACTCCCTTACTCCTCACTCCATTGGATTCGTGTGACTCTCCTCCGACTCACAGTTCCCGTAAAATATAGTGGCTTTCCAGACCTTAGCGCCAACACGAAAGTGTCTTCCCAGCGGAAACACTGGAGTAATCCTTTTTCGAGCGACTGAGGGAAGCTATACTCAACTTGAGTCGTTCCTCGACTTGAGTCCCAACTAAAGGCACCAATCATTGACTCAAGATGCGGTCGCACCATACTGTCATCTGTCATTGACATCATTGTATATATTTCGATTGAACTCATTCAGCTCGTGACGGGCCGACCGAGCTCTGGAGCCTGCAGCATACGTTCCTCCAGCGACTCGGATGATCGTTGCGATCGTCTGCGACTCCACCAAATGAAGCATCTCCGACTCCTGTCCATGAAATGCGCGAGCGATTGCACTGTTCTGCATGGCTGAGGTTAGCAATCAACTCGAGAAGGGATGTAATGCGAGAGATATCGATTGGTCCGTTGTGGGGATTCAGTTCGTAGCGGCAGCGAACGAAATAGCCGCGGAGCGAAGGATGACCCCCTGCACGGACTACATCCCAATACTCGGGGAATTCGACCTAGGCTGCCGGATCAGGGCCGGAAGTTTCAGCGAATTGTATCTCGTCACTCACAAGTCGACCGGACACCCGTTCGCCATGAAGATATCTTCGAGGAGTGAGAAAGCTGTCAGCAAGAGCTCCGTATATACTCCTGGAAACGGGGATTCCGACGAAGTTCCACGAAAAGCACTCGAGAACATAATGTGATTTGTGTGATTTGACTCTCACATATTCGGACGAGATGGTCGCAGCCCTGACCTACGCTTTCCTCATGTGCCGGACTTTCTGCTCCTTCCGAGCCGATCCCGAAGTCGATATATTTCTGATGGAACGCGGCTTGATCGAACATGTCGGATTTGTGGGCACTGAACATTCTCTTCTGATCGCCTTTCAGGTGACCCTCACACTCGGGCATATTTATTTGAGGAGTCTCATCCATCGAGACGTTCGACCATCGAACTTCGTAGTCGATGCTTTCGGCAAAGTGAAAACAGTCGACTTCGACCGCGCGAAGGTTTGCCGGGGACATTTTTCGAGCGGATCCTATCCGGTTTTTTCAAGCGAACAGCTAATAATGAGTTAGAGAGGAATCGTTGGTGACGAAAAACCGCGGTTATTGTCTGCGGTTAACCGCTGCCCCCCGTAGACTCCCATGTCGAAAAAAAACCGCAATTGCGGTTCATAACCGCGGTTGCAAAGCCTAGTGACTCAGCGTATACGGCTCCGGAAGTTCTGAGTAATGAGAGCGCAATTTCTCCGGCGCGAGCCGAGAATCGGCGTTGTCTTCCACGGCGAGTACACCTAATTCTATTATTTACAGCAAGCTTGAGAACATGGAAATGAACAAATCGTTCAGGCGGGAGGACTCTCATCCACGTAAAAGCAGCGGCTAACCCTCCACCGGGAGGAGGACGAGCATTCTCCCGGGCGGTTCGGACCCGGAGTTCGCGATGAGCTCTTGTAATGGTCTGCACCGAGTGGAAGAACTTAGACAAGTCGGGGTTTTTGATGATCGAAGGAAACAGTTTGAGATCGGCCTCGTCGAAGACGTAGAAGACGACGGAGAAAGAGTCCCTTTTGCCTGCACTCGAGCTCTTTGAGCTGTACTCTACGGCGAGCTTGGGAAGTCCGAAGAACCTCATCCGCGGCATCAGCGTCAGGCTCTCCGACCCGAGAACCTCGCATCATGACATCATCTGTTTCGCTGAAATTGAACGCGCGGCTCGAGTGAAGCGAACTGGTCGTGAGGATCATCAATCGCGCTCAGACCCCGGACTGAGAGTCGGAAAGAACTTCTGAAGGATCCTGATCGACCCATAATCTTCAAATGCTTTCTGAAATGAAGGGAAGTTATTCGTCAGTCCATTCCGAAGAAAACTAGCTGTTGCCGATATCAGCGTCCCAGACAAGGTCCTCCCTTTGGTTGGATTATTCATCGGGTACGCGCTCGAGTTCCCCGATAAGGCTTTAATCGTCTACTGTACCAGTCTGAAGAAGATGGATTCGCTTGCAGGATGCTTCCAGCTACATACTGATGCGTGCATTCATACAGGAGTGGCACTTGTCCGCAACTCCCTCGATCGAGATATCGATCCAGGACTATCCGGTATTTACTAATTCTTTCATATGTTCCCCATTCGAGCGGTTTCTTCATTGACATCTGCTCTATATATATATGTACGTACTTCAGAGATTTCTCAATTTCCGAAACGGAAAAGTTGAGATCTCAGCGGGTGCATCTGAGATTGCTCCAGGGCACAACGGTTCCTTCGTCTGCTCGAGGCTGAGAACGACGCAGTTCCATAGCACCTGTCTCTGAAATAAGTCATGGTGTCTCTCGCTTATACCGGAAGTGCTGTTGGGAGCATGCCTCCAAGGGTTGAACGGATGTCCGATGCTGAATCAATGAGAAATCCGAGCCATGCGTGCTCAAGCAAAGGCGGCAGGATTATGCTCATCAGCAAGCTTCCAGGCCTTAAGTCTGCATTTGATATGACTTGGAACCTTGCTATATATAGTTTCATCTCATTCCCACCCGATCAGACTTTCTGACGCGCACCTTTAAACTCATGCCACAGACTCGGTCGTATGCGACTCAATAGAAGAAGATGCTTCGAGTATCGAGTCCCCTCTTCTATTCAGACGCCTGTCTGTGACGAAGCCATGCGTCGTATGAGACGCGTCGCTCTCCTATCCGGTGGGAGGTCACTTTTCCCGATGGTTCCCTCATTCTAGGTCGTATTTTCCACACTCCAAAAGGAAATGTGTAGAAATCTCTGTAGCCCTGTCATTTATGTCCATCGTTCGCGCGACGTCAGATCTCGGGAAACTCTAGGCGAGTCTTATTGTGAATCCGGCGGATCCACGCTCTTTGGTTGGACTACTCCGAGTTCCCTCGTGACGTCATGACGTCTCAAGTATAGCTCATATGAGGACGTTCGGCAGGATTCTACTCCGAGAGACGTCTCAAGTTCACGGATCCTGCTCAATTTCGACAATTGCGAGAGACACTCCACTCGCCTTTTCCCCGCAAGGTGTTGAACTCCAGAACGGCAGCTCAGAATGAGGGATCCCGCAAAGAGATTACAGTGGGACCCCGTCCTGTCAGACTCAACAGGACGAGAACTAGTGGAACTCCATTCGGGCGACACTCTCAGGTCTGCAATATATCCAGTCTAACTTCTGTTGTTGTGCAATCTATTTTCGCATTTCAAGATCCGGGCCGATCGGAGGCGAGGTTAGGTCATCGTGGACTTTGCCGTCGAAAAAATCGATCTCTCAGACATCCAATCATTCCAAGAATAAAGAAGCGATCATGCTGAGAATAGCTGCGGTTGATCACCTGGATTTCCAAGCCTCGAATTCCTCGGCGTCCGGTATCCTCCACCTATTGGATTTCGATCGGTGCCGTAGTGTGAGCAGTGAGGTCATGATTCTGCCCTGATAATATCCAATTCTCCCTTCCCGGTTCGAAAATAACGCTCGGGTTTCATTTTACGGATCAGAAACTATCGGGCGGATCGTGCGAATAAGCTTGAAATACATATTGACGAGTCCCCCCGAACTCGTGCAGCAACGACTACCTTGCGGGAAACGCCGCGGGAATCCTTCAACAGCGGATTTCTCTGTAGGTATCGGAAATTCGCACAAGTGTGGCAAAGGATGACTCTTGGGGGATGAATTCCTTCTCCCGAACGAATGCTAATCTCAAAGGCCATTGATACACAGATAGCACAACGGCAAGCTCCAGGAGGATCGTGAAAAACGATCAGGCGAGGAGCATCGGATGGGACCTCAAGGTCAAGACTGATGAGAATTGGGACGGCTCCGCGGCGGCGTATGAGAATATTTGTCTTATACCCCAGGTGGTTCTCTCTTTCGGATTATAGTGTGCGTTGCTTCCGAAAGGGAGTGTTTGTGGAGAACGATCCGTATCGGATGGACTGATCCGTCATCGATTGAGGCCCGGAACATTTGTCTAGTGTGCGAAATGGGAGAGGGGCCAGTCTAGTCTCCGATATGTGACATGTTTCCGAAGTTGCACAAGCGGACT